CAATCTAGTGTTTACACATGATAATGTGGATCTTGAACCACAGCAGTGAAAATCAGTATTGCTGATTTCCAGGTGCAACATATATGCTGGTTTCTGCTTATTGCAAACGCGCACATAAATTCGTGTTTTGAAATGCTTGATTTCCTCAAGAACTTCCTGAGAAGGATTAAATAGGATGACATTCATCCGGGATTATTAAAGGTCGTTGCAATCCCACTTCAAATTATGAAATAAATGAACAAAGCAAACAGCAGAGAACAAGGGTGAATTATTTGATTAGGAAGCCACCTGATCAAATTGCCACACTAGAATCGGATTTCCATATCAATGCGAATTTTTAAAAAGCAATGAGAAGCCAGCTTGGATGATTTCTGAATGGTGCATATCATATCAGAAACTGGTTCCCATCTGTTCAATTCCAAATCAAATAAATAGTTTTAATTGTTTTTGCTTGACTTGCACAGTCCAATTCATGGTCAAATCTTCGATGACAGGTTTATTTAACCCTTAGAAAGAGAAAACTCGAATTGATTTCTGCACGTCTGACATTTTTCGTGGTTGGTTTTCTGGCACTTGCAATTATATTCAGATGGCTCTGGATAGAATAGCTAGATCAGGAATTCCCAACCCCTGGGCCATGGCCCACTACAGGGGCTGTGGCCTATTCCCAACCAGACCGTGTGAGAGGTGGGCTAACGCACAAGCTTGCATGTATAGCTCATCTTGCAGAGTGGGGGGCCAGTGGGTGTGCATCCGCATGTGCAGCTCAACGTGCAAATCAAGCTGTGCATGCATGCTTGTGTGCCAGCCCACTGCTTGCACAAATCAAGCTGCACATGTGTATGCACTGGCCTGCTGCTTGGGTGGCAGGTTCCCCTCTTCCCCCTCTGCCGGGCCGTCAAGCCACAGAGGTTGGGGACTGCTGAGCAATGATTGTCTTTGTTGTCCTTCAGAGACTTCCCCATTCTCTGAGGCACCCCGGGCTCTACTTCCTGTCCCTCGGAGTCCCCGAAGGCCTTAGCCTGCTTCCCACCCAGCTACTCAGCCACCCAAGGGAGCCTAACATCAAGTAGCAGAAGCTGCTGGTGCATGGAGGGCTGCTAGGATTTGCAGGCAGAGGCCTGCTTCCCCCTCAGTCACCGAGGGATTTGCAGAACTCAGCCTGCTCCACAGCCAGATCCAGGGCCCAGCAACACCCAACTTACCATTCTGGCCTGTCAGACTGGTAAACGGAGATGATTGGCTTGTGGTCTGTTGCTCAGAGACGATGCCCAATTAAATCCACTGGCCACAAGACACTCCTTGAGCAAAATTCCTTTATTGATGCACAACAGCAAAGGGGTTGCCTCCAAAGAGGAGGAGGAGTTGTCATACATGGCTTTTTGTAATTTTTCATGGGAAACAAGTGCTGCAATTGGTTACTTGTTAATGCGCAAGCAGACTTGATTAATGCCATTCCCACATGTCTGTGGTGTGTATTTTAAGATGCTAATGAGCCTTTCTGGGGCAAGGGGGGGGGTCTGACTATCTAGGACAGATGGGGGGTGGTGATGATGATATTGAGGCTTTCCCTGAATCTTGCAGAACTTGACACTGTGAAGGGACCAAAAATGTAATCTTTTATGTATAATCCATCTTTCCTGTATAACATAGTCCAGCCATTGTTCATTTATTTTGTTTTATTCTGATCTTGAGTTAAAATGCCTCATAAATCAGAACAGACAGATAAACTCAATAGAAATGATTTCATAACAAAAACATATTTAATCAGAAATATTACTTGCATTCATGAGGGTTGCCTCTGATAATACATCTCTGTCCATTCCTATAGGTGAAAAGAATGATGCTCTCTCCATACCATCTTTATAGCGGAACAAAGTCATCGAGTGACATCTGATGGCCCATGCTCCTCTTTTTACAAAGACATTCCAAACTGGCTTGTGTCCAGGAAGTCTCCCAATGCCCTTTAGAAACTCCTCCCACTGACCCATTAACATGGGATGACTGACTAGCTAAACTACATTTCCCATAAGCCATCTCTTAAGGAGACAGCACTTAACCCAATAAATGCCAGATATTCTAACATACAGATACATGCTCTCTAGTTAGGGTTACATAGAGTTATACGATTCAGAACATGTTTGCTTTCTGTAGGTGCTCCAATGTAATGTAAATTGTGCTGAGCAAAGAGAAAGAAAAGCTTTCTGTTACTTTAAAAATGTTACAGTAGCGTTCTTTTTCCACCCCCTTTCTCCTTGGGTAGTAAATGTATTCCTTTGCTTCTCTACGGTGGTGCCTGCAAAGGAACAAGTTAAGTTTCTGGGCTAATTACCAGCTAGCTATTGAGCTATTGGGTATTCAGAGCTTAGAAATGCAGAATTGCAACATGCTTGATAGATAAGGAGAGTCAAACGAAAAAGAAATTTTTAGATGTGCAAAACCCTTGCAATGTTAAGGAAAAAAAAGTGTATTAGTTATAAAAGGAAGAACTTTTTGATTAGGACGTGCTCATTCTCTTCTGTCTCACAGTGTGCTTGCATGTGGCAAGAGATTGGGACACCCAGCTTATTTACTTTGATCAAAGGAATAAAACTGTTCTTTTCAGTAGCTTTGTGTTCAGAATTTTTTTGGATTTATTGGAATTCTGAGCTAAAAACCTTACAACATCCAGGGCTTTTTTTCTCATAGAATGCCCAGAATGGTGTTCCGGCACCTTTTTTTGGATGGAACCTTGTAAGGTAGGCAAGGCGGGTTGTATGATGTGTGTGAGTTCCGGCACCATTTTTTTTTTTTAGAAAGAAAGCAGTGACAACACCTAACACTGCTTTGGATATTTTTAGTTAACGTTTACTGTGTTCCTTCATTCCAGGATCGCATCTTCCTGAAACTGTGACCATAGTTGCTAGGACATCTTTTTGAAACTTGCTTTTAATTTTCTTTTCCTTCAGGCCGAGGCAATGCAAAGCCCAGTTTTTCAACAGAAGCTGCCTCATGACAACTAGATACTATTCTGCAAGCCGGTATTCTTTTTGTGATCCTGTAAGGGCTGTGTGTTTGTATGTCTCTCTCTCTCTGTGTTTTAAGGAAGCTCCACAGACTCCACAAATAGATGGAGCAGGCTGAATCCTGCAAATCCTTGGGTTGGCTGAGTGGGAAGCAATCCATAACAGTTCCTAATGGATGGAAAGCCTCTGCTGCCAGACTTTAGTTTCCATTGGGTGGCTGAGTGACTGGATTGGGAGCAGGCAAAAGCATGCAGGCATTCAGAAGAATGGAGGGGGGAGATAGGTGGGGGGCTACTACCTGTGGTTGGTTGTAAACAACTGCAAAGGTACTTCAGTGGTCTTAACTTTGAAACCAGGTGATAAGTAGCTTTGGGGAGGAGGGGGTCTGTTGTAACTTTGACCGGTCGCTAAGGGACCAGTCATAAGTCAAGGACTACCTGTATTGCTTTTTTTTCTCATAAATTGGTGGAAAAGAAGAGATTCTAGATTCCTCACCTTCACAGTGGCATATTTTATATTTGTAGTTTAAAATTAAGCATATTTTAAAATTAAGCTCAAGTAAGTTTACAAGCTCCCCCAATTAATTAGTAATGGTTTTTTTTTAAAAAGTTATTTAAAAGTGCCATTTCAAAAAACAAAAACAACTCCTAAGTGACACAAACAAGTACTTCCAAAATGATCACACCATGCAGTCAAATAATTATCTAGTGCAGTGGTGGCGAAACTATGGCACGGGTGCCAGAGGTGGCATTCAGAGCCCTCTCTGTGGGCACACGTGCCGTCGCCCCAGTCCTAGGCCTTCAGCTGGGTTTTATAAAACCTTTTCACTTTAGGCCTCCACCGCCGTGTGCAAAAAAAAAAAAAAAAGGTTCAATCAATCAATTTCAACTTCTCGCAGGAAAAAAAAAAGATCTTGCAAAGTTGGAATTGATTGATTGAACTTTTTAGTCCAACCCAGACTGCTGTTACCACCGCAGCCACGCCCACCCAATGGGCCATGCCCACCTGGCACCCGACGATGCATAAGTGGGTGTTGAGTTGCAGTTTGGGCACTCGGTGTCTAAAAGTTTCGCCATCACTGATCCAGTGGTTGCATTAAATCAGAATATTATGACAGACATGGACTCAATGCTGGAACCAGGCCCCTATCAGTGACGAGCCAACCACAGCTATGGTACTTACCACATGTTGAACGTGAGCATCAGCAATACGGAACAGGGTAAAAATGTAGCCTTCTTTGCGATGTTCATTGATTAAATTCAAAGCCACCTCTGCACTCTTCTCTATTCTGGCATCATTGCAGTCTTCAGGGACTATCAAGGCTTGACAGGATGTGGTCCATGCCGCAATAAATAGAGCACAGGCTAGCAATTTCATTTAGGCTATGCAATGATTTGATCCTCTCAAGTCATCAGATTGGAGCTCTTTTGAGCTGATGCTAGAAAGCCAATTCCATAAACTCAAAGGGATGTTTATTTTTTGGTGGCTCTGATCTCAAGGTTCTTGACCCAGTTGCCTTGATCCCTGGTTAAGCTAAACAAATGGAAAATGATTGATGGAGTAAACAAGAGGGAAAAAGGTTCCCAAATGAGGGATTAATATCTGAACCAATGGCTAAAATAGCATGAAACTCCAGTACTGGGATACAGGAAGAAAAAAGTAGCTTGCATAGATTTGAAGAGTAGATCCCAGTATACAGAATTCTGTGATGGTTGAATAAGCTACGAGATAGTTCAAACGTGAACTACTTTTATGCATCTGGGTTTTTTTCTGTGCAAAATTGAAGTTATCTTGCCAATATAGGTAATCTCTGACTTATGGCCACAATTGAGCCCAAAATTTCTGTTGCTGAGTGAGACCGTTGTTAAGTGAGACCATTGCCACATTTGTTAAAGTGGTTAAATTAGTAACACAGTTGTTAAGTGAATCTGGCTTCCCCATTGAGTTTACCTGTCAGAAGGTCGCAAAAGGTGATTATGTAACCCTGGGACACTGCAACTCTCATAAATATGAGCCGGTTGCCACCTATCCAAACTTGATCATATGAGTATGGGGATACTGTAATGGTCATAAGTGTGAAAAACATTCATAGGTTTTTCAGTGCCATTGCAACTTTGAACAGTCACAAAATGAAATGGTGTAAGTCGAGGACTATCTGCAATTGACAAAATCACCATCTTAACTTAGAATTAAAGGTCCACTTTTAAAGTTTATAGTGGGACATTAGAGGCAGGATCTGTATAATGAGTTCAGACATAATGATATTTCTTAGTCTTTAATCATTCGGGTTTTTGAAACATGATTTATGAAGTAGCCTGATGTCTAAATGCAGCTAATTACTTATTTGGTACCTCACATTTAAATAACCCATCACTTCCCAGAGTATATGAATCCAGACAGTATTTTATTCATGAAAATTAAATTAAAATCAAAACTTTGTTAGTATGATGCTACAAAACATTAAGCTAGCAAACATGGAAACCAAGAGAATTCTGCTTGTGTAGGGAGATCTGATGAGTTTCTATTAGATTAAGCTTTCAGTGTCCTACAGTACATCATTTAGTTTTAGTGAAGTTCTGGCCCATGAAGGTGAAGGCCATAGACCTGTATTGCAAGGTCTCCTGGGCAGGATGGTGATTCTGAAAACCCATTGGGGAAGGGAGGAATGGCTGGCCTGGCTAACTTTACTGAGTGAGGACTGGCTTCCTGTTCTGGAGAAATCAAACTGGGTTTAGAGGTTGGATTGGGCTCCTGGACTTCTGGTAAGGAGTGTAGTGAGACATGTTTGCTTGAAGGAGGATAGATGATCACCCGCCCCAATATTTCCTTCTGGTCTGGTAGTATCTCAGTGATGTTAGCTGAGTGGTGAGGAGAGTGTGGCTCCTGGTCTTCATGCTTATGTCCATGATGTTTGTGGTGATGAGCATGGGAGTGGTGATGATGGTGTCTGTTCTCTTCATGGTGATTTCTGTGTCTTTTACCGTCATCGTGATGTTCCTCCTGCCCAGGTTCCAACCCAGACAGTGGAGTCTGTTCATCTGTAACCGGTGGCTAATAGGACAAAACATACAGAAAAGTGGCTTAAGGGGTTGTCAGTATCTGGGCCTATAAATTGTGCTTACTTTTTTTGTGGAATATTCAATATATTAATAATGTGGATGCAGCAAGGTGAGACCTTTCCAATTATATGCTCTCGTGGTACCCTTAATTACCTATGATTTATGCATTTAAAAAAAAATTCAGGGGGGGGGTTTTGTTCAGTTGTTTCTATTTATATTTGTTCATTTCATTTCATTATTTTATTATTGTATCTTATTTAAGGAGTTATTAATTACCTCACTCCACAGGCTTTAGGTAGAATGCAAAACTGAAATATAATCAAGAACTTTACAATAAAAACAACTAACAGTAAAGTTGTTAAGCAGATCTTCTACCTGCTTAATCAAGCAAGGTCTTAACTAGTGATTTTTTTAGCTATTATTTAACTGAGAAATTGATCGCTGTGTTGGGTAAAGTTCAGTCAATGATTTAAAAAAAGTAAACCATGTTTGAAAAACCTGGAGTGAATATTTTCTGCAGATGATAGCTGTCTGAGGAACTTACCAGGTGTGGGAAGAAATGGCATTTTACAGTGACAAATTTCCGATTCTCAATCCGACTATTTACCACAGAGCCCTTGCATAGGCCTGCCTCCTAGAGCAAAAGAAAAACTTTTTATCAAAAAAATCCCCAAGAGGTTTAAGTTGGCCAGATGTTTTTTTTTTTTTTTTTTTTTTTTTTTTATTAAAAGTTTTATAAATTTTACAAAAAAAAACAAGAACAATACAGAACAAAAAACAACATATACAAAAGAAAAAAAAATTAAACAATACATATAAAAAAAACCCCCACCCCACACCCCTCCCAAAAACCCTCCCTTCCCCCCCCCTGAGCTTCCCAGAGCAGAATATAGGCTTAAGAAATAATAATAATAAAAAAAAAAAAAAAAAAATAAAAATAAAAATTAAATTAAAAACTTTATATTTATATATATAAAAAAGATATCTATAATATATATAAAAATAAAACTTATGAAAAAGCTATATAATATTTTTGTATACCCAATCTAAATTGTATAAATTTTATCCATTTGTCCCAGATAGCAAAAAACTTCTCTTGCGTTTGTTGCTTTAAGAAAGCCGAAATCTTTGCCATTTCTGCCAGATAAGCTACTTTAAAAAACCATTCCTGCAATGTAGGCAAAGATTCCTTCTTCCAATATTGTCCAACTAACAGCCTCGCGGCTGTGATCAAGTTTAACATCAATACAACCTCCTTTGTATCACAATCTGTAACAATACCTAACAAAAATAATTGCGGAGTAAATTTTACCCTCCTTCTAAAAATTCTCTGGATATTCCACCATATTTTGATCCAAAATGCTTTTATCTCTCTACATGACCACCAAATATGATAATAGGAAGCCTCCTTATAACCACATCTCCAACATTTAGGTTGCACGTCAGGGTACATGTAAGACATTTTTTGTGGATCAAGGTGCCATCTATAAAACATTTTATAAAAATTCTCCCTTAGATTCTGTGCTTGAGTAAATTTGACATTTCTCACCCAAATAGTTTCCCAGGTGTCCAATGAAACTGGCTCACCAAAGTTCTGCGCCCATCTAATCATACAATCTTTAATTAGTTCCGTTTCTGAGTCCAATTCAACTAAAACCCCATAAATTCTCTTAATGTGGGTTTGTCTTTGATCCTTCAGTTGCTTAATAAGATTTTCATCTTCTCTAAGAAAACCCACCTTACAATCCATCTTCCATCTATCTAGTAGTTGCCTATATTGGAACCAAGAATAAGTAAAATTTTCTTGTGCTAATTCTTCCCGTGATTTTAATTGCCAGTTTTGTCCATCCCATTTAAGTAACTGTCTGTAAGACACCATATCCATTTTAACCCCTCTTTTTATTCCTTCTATCGCATGCCAAGGTATAGCCCATAATGGTACTTTAAAATCACTTTTATAATATTTTCTCCAAATCCTAAGTAAAGAAATTCTTAAAATATGAGATTTAAAAGCCCAATCTATTTTTTTATTAAATATTAAATAGGCATGCCACCCATAAAGTAAATCCCATCCCTCTAGATAAAGTATCTCAGAATTTGTCAAATTTACCCAGTCACTAATTAATGTTAAAACCACCGCATCATAATATAATTTCAAATTTGGTACCTTGAGTCCGCCCCTCTCACGGAAGTCTTGCATAATTTTGAACTTAACCCTTGGTTTTTTCCCTGCCCAAATAAATTTATTGAGACCCTTCTGCCACTCATTTAAATTAATCTCATTTTTCAAAATTGGTAACATTTGAAACAAAAAAAGAAACTTGGGTAGAATATTCATTTTTATCACTGCAATTCTTCCCATGAGGGATAATTGCAGCTTTTCCCAATTCTTCAAGTCTTTCTGTACCCCGACCCACAACCTTTCATAATTATTTTTAAATAGTTTTGCATTAGAAACAGACAGCATCACCCCCAAATATTTTACCTTATTAACAATCTCAAAACCCGTCGAGTTAACCAAAATCTGCTTCTCCTGACTCGACAAATTTTTAGGTAAAATTTTAGTCTTATTTACATTAATCTTAAAACCCGAGACCAAACCATAATGGTGAATCAACTGTAATAAGTTTACTACAGAATAATCAGGTTGCGACAAAGTAACAACCAAGTCATCCGCAAAAGCTCTCAACTTATATTCTTTTTTATTAACATATATTCCTTTAATTTCCTGAGACTCTCGAATTTTAATCAATAATATTTCCAATGTTAAAACAAACAACAATGGCGATAAAGGACACCCCTGTCTAGTACCTTTCTCTATTGTGAAAACCTCCGACAAACCTCCATTAACAATAAGTTGTGCTGTTTGTTTTTGATATATTACCTTAAGGGCTTGTAATATGTTTTCACCAAAATTCATTTCTTCCATTACTCTTAGCATAAAATGCCAATTCAGTTGGTCAAATGCTTTTTCAGCATCTAAAAATATGAGCCCTGCAGGAACTTGGTTGTTCTTATCTAAGTATTCTAATAAGTTAATAATTTGTCTAACATTGTTTTTCATATACCTTCCTGTTATAAACCCTGATTGATCTTTATGCACAAGATGATGCACCACCCTCATAAGCCTATTTACCAAAATTTTTACAAATATCTTATAATCCACGTTTAAAAGAGATATAGGCCTATAGTTTTTTGGTAAAGTAAGATCTTGATCCTCCTTTGGAATCAATGATATAAAAGCACTACGCCATGAAGGAGGAATCTCTAAACCCTGTAAGATACCATTAAAAAGATCATTTAATGGTTGAATCATCTCCTCCATTAAAGCTTTATAATAAACAGCTGTTAACCCATCCGTACCCGGTGCTTTCCCTAATTTCAATTGTTGAATTGCTGAGGCGATTTCCTCCTTAGTAATTAAACCATTAATTTCATATTTCTGATCCTCAGTCAGTTTAGGAAAACTTGCCTCAGCTAAATATTTATTTATATCTAACAGTTGTACATTAGTAGATTTGTATAGGTTTTGATAATAATCCAAAAAAGATTTTTTAATTAATTCCTTCTGAGAAACTAGTTTACCCTTATAATTTATTTTCTCTATTATTCTCAGTCTCTGTTTCTTTCTTAATTGATAAGCCAACCATCTCCCCGGCTTATTAGCATTACAAAATGTATTTTGTTTCATAAATAATAAATTGGTTGCAGCTTGATCTGCTATCAACATATTAAATTGTGACCTTAATAACTTTACAGATTCTTTAGTACTTTCATCAGAAGGATTTAGAATCAAAGCCCTTTCTTTTAGTTTAATTTCATCTTCAAGTTCTCTACGTTTCTGAGTCTGATTTCGCTTATAAAAATTATTCATTTTTATCAAAACACCGCGCATAAATGCTTTACCTGCATCCCATACCATTGACATTGAAGTCCCCTTATACATATTCAAAGCAAAATAGTCCTTTAAACACTCCTTTAGTTTTTGAACATTCTTCTCTTGTCTAAACAAATTTTCATTAACTCTCCAGGATCTTCTTTCCTCTTTCTCTTGAATCAACTCCATCCAAACTGGACTATGATCCGTCAGTGATCTAGGAAAAATCTTTACATTCTTTACTTTATTATACAAATCCGTGGTAATCAAGAAAAAGTCAATTCTTGAAAAAGATTGGTGTCTGTCAGAAAAAAAAGTAAAGTCTCTCTCCTCTTGATTACGTTCCCGCCAATAGTCCCTTAATTCCCAGTCTTCTTTCATATCAAAAAAGGCTTTAGGTAGCCTTGCTTGTTTAAGAAAAGGAGAGGAACCTTTCTTATCCCTTTGTGTATCTAAGACACCATTCCAATCACCCATTAATACCACCGATCTATAATCAAGCAAAGTTATTTTTTGGTGTAACTGTTTATAAAATTGTTCCTGTTGTTGATTTGGAGCATAAAGTCCAACTATAAGTACTTTCTTACCATAAATACCAAGTTCAATCATCACATATCTCCCCTGGGGATCTGATTCTACCAGACAAGCTGGCAGGTTTTGTTTGACATATATAACAACTCCCCCTTTCTTCCCAGGTGCAGGAGATATAAAATGAGATCCCAAACGAGCATTAACTAAATATTTCTGATCTTTAAGTAGAATATGAGTTTCCTGTAAACAAATAACATCATTGGTATGTTGTTTCAAATAATAAAAGATTTTTTTCCGTTTCTGAGGAGAATTCAATCCATTAACATTCCAGGTCAAAAACTTTGCCATCTCCCTTGGCACGCAGCCTGGAGAAGACACCATCAAACTCTGACAGAGCTGCGTGTGTTGCATAACTCTTGGGTCTTGCTCCTCCCACCGGCGGTGATGCACTTCCAGGAGAATTCTCTTTGGGCTCTTTTTTACGTTGCTCTTTCTCTTTACGCTTATAAGCTGCACGAGTCATCCTCTGCTCTTTAGCCTCCGTTTGGCGTTGCTTTGCCACTTCTATCATCCCTGCGGAAACCAAATCTAGTGCCTCAGATTGCTGCTCAGGTTCCTTAGCACTCAAAGATTTCCGACCAGATGAAATTGAGCCTGCACTCAGGACCGAAGTATAGAAATCTCTAGCTTTGTCAACTGTGTTCAATCTGTAACGTGTCCCAGCATGGCTCAAAACGATACCCATCGGAATTTCCCATCTGAATGGCATCGATCTAGCTTTAAGCTCATTGGTTAAAAAAGCAAAGTCTTTCCTACTTCTTAAAATTTTAGATGGGATTTCCTTTAGAATGATGACATCTTGGGCGGCAATCTGAAATCTTTTGTTGTAAAAAGCTTGTATAATCTCATTCCGCAGGGACTTCTTTGTAAAGTAAATCACCACATCTCTGGGCAAATTCTTCTGCTTAGCAATCCAGGAGTTGAGTCTATAAATTTTTTCTACTTCTCTCTGTAATTCTCCTTTATCCATATCCAAAGCCAGCGCCAGATCACTAAGAACCACCTCCATCAAATCTTGATTCATATCTTCCTTGAGGCCTCTAATCCTCAGAGCATACTCCATTTGTCTGTATTGAAACATCAAAATATCTTCTTGTGAGGAGTCCACCTTCCTTTCCACGTCTTGAATTTTGTCATCTAAAGAGTCAACTTTGTCTTCCACTTCCTCAAGCCTTGCATCGAGCTTAACCACCACAGTAGCCAAACCTGAAACAGCTGCCAGTATATCTTGTCGTAATTCATTATTATTTTCTTGCAATTTAGACTTTATCCCCGTTATCTCTTCTTTGAGATCAGATTTAATTTCTGATTTAATCTGTGAAACAAATTGAGTCATTTCCTCTCTCATTTGAACTACAATCTCTCCCATTATGCCTCTAACCTCTTGCACTGAAAGTCCAGGTAGAGGAGGGGAGGGTGGTGGCTGAGCCGGTGGTGCATGTTTAGATTGTTGTTGTAGCTGTGCAGTGGAAGTTATAGGAGAAGAAATAACCTTGGGTACTGAGGAAGGCTGCTGCCTCTTTGAAGCCATTTTAAAAAGCACAATTGTCACTTCCCTTTCCCCTCCAGCCAAAAAGGGAGGAGGAAAAAAAGAAAAAAAGAATTTTTAAAAAGAGACAAACTATAATCATTAAAAGTCCAGAATAAATCCCAAGAATAAGTAATAAAAGAGCAAACAATTCAAAAAAAAAAATTCTAAGCCAAAAGCAAAAGCAAAAGCAAAAAACAATCCTTAAAAAGGGAAAGTAAAACAAAAGAGAAAGGAAAAAAAAACTCCGACACTTTCAAAACGCCATCTTAAGTCCTTTCACTAGTATAACAAAGAAAAGGAGGAAAAATAGTAAAAATCAAAAGATAAAAAAATAAACACCTAAAATATAAGAAAAAGTCCTTTAAACTGCTCCGTCCGTTTAAAAATTACTCACCAAAATGCTGTAAACACGGAGATAGAAGCGGCGGTTTCTTTTGCTTCCAAGGAAGCAAAAACAGCTGGGAGGCGGAGATCAGCAAGAGCTCCGAGGGAACACTCCTTTCACCCCCTCTAGAAATAAATCCAGAGGGGGTTCAGGGGTTCTACCTCTACTCTTGCGTTCTCTATCCCTTCCCTTTGCCCGGGAAGGGATTTCCGAGCCGCGGGCCAGCTGATGCGCGCTGCGCTCCGCGGCTCTGACACTTCCCCAGCTGGACGGCTAAAAGCTAGCCGCCATCGCCGTCGCCTCCCACCGGAAGCCGCCAGATGTTTTTTAATATGCAGTGGGACAGCAATACATATCATTCCTCAGATGTTCTGTATCAAAGGGCCTTCTCCGTTAGTCTCTATGGTTGGCATGCCATTTCTCCTCTTCAAAAAAACTGTTTCTGTGCTCTAGTTAGAGTAAATGGCATGGCAAACCCAAATTTGTGTGCTCTCCTTGTTAGAAACAGAAATTCTTTCTTTTTCTCATTTCTTTTGTCTGTAGAAACTAGGCTACATGCATAACATAAGGTTTTTCAGCGTGAATTTGCTAAAGTGGAATAAAACTGATTCTTAAGCTTGAAGTGAAGATACATTTTGTTACTACTCCTGTACTGCGGGATATTCCAATGTACATTTCCTGTGCTGTGAGGCTATTCATCAGTTCCTTTCTATTTCTGAACATAACATAGTATTCTGGGAATTCCAAAATATTCTGTTTTCTTTCGGACTGTACTGATCCAACTGTTCTAGGGGTGACTGAATAGTTTTCTGGTGTTACAGAATGAAATCGTTATTTTAATTATTATATTCCTATTGGTATATAATTTTGGTTATTAAAGAATTGCCCTGCAGAATTCTGCTAAATTATAATTAACATTATGATTTATAAGTTGGGTTAGAGAGCACCAAATGATACTGCATAGATGGAACAGCCTGTTTCCTCGAATTATGTTTACTGCATCACTAGACGTTATTAAGCAAAGGATGGACAGCTAGTTTTCTAGGGATGGAATGGGACAATTCGCTGTGGCCAACTCATCACAGCCATCTTGCCACAGCCATGTTGCCGGGGCCAACTCTCCGCAGCCATTTCGCTGCAGCCAACCCGCCATAGCCAACTTGCCGCGGCCATCTCACTGCGGCTAACTCGCCATATCCCAACTCACACGGTCAACTTGCTGCAGGACAATGCGATGCAAACAATTCCATGTGGGATAACTCAACGTGATAAATGTCAATGGAAATAATGCCAAAGAAACAGTGCCGATAACCTTTATCACATTGAGTTATCCCATGTGGAATTGTCCGTGGTGAGTTGGCCATGGCAAGATGGCCATGATGAGTTGGACACAGCAAGCTGGCCTAGATCCTTGGAAGGATGATATGAGAATTCCTGTGAAAGGGGTTCCAATATTATCATTATCTGGTTCATGTCCATCTCTACAAAATCTAATTTTAGATTTAACTTCTTCTGCTGATTCAGTATGGTATTATTACTGTTTCTTCCATTTCTTTTCAAATAGATTTATTACAGCTATATTAGTAGATTAGTATCTGCCTAACAGTTGTCCTTCATGTGGAATGGCTGGATTCATACAACGTGTTAAAACCAAAACCTAGGCTAACTAAAACTGATTCCTGTACTCACACAAGAGGTTGTTTCAAATTAATATGCTTTAGCATAGCATAAGATGATTTCTTGCCTCACACAACCTATAAGATTAGAGTTGGCTTTTCCCAAATTATTCAATTTCATTTTTGTTAGATCTGGAAAAGAAATCTACTGACAGACTTTGTACAAGATGTCTGAATACTCACTGCAGTGTTGGATGGGAGCAGAGGACACTTAGTGATGACAGACACTGGCTGGCTTTTGGGACAAGAGGTCTCTTGGATGGTGTACTCCACAAAGTTGGAAGGACCAACAACCCACTGCGAAAAAGTCACAGGCAAAAGTTAGAGCAGGTCCCATAAAAGTTAAGGGAATCAAAGTCCAATTGATCCATAGAGCACCAAGTTGCAGAATGTTACGCTCCAAAAAACCAAGAAAGACATGCTGAGTAATTTCGAAGACGTTTCCTTTATCATTCCTCACCAATAGACAGAAATCTTGCCAAACTAAAGCAAATAAGGGTCTAAAGATCTGACTCTGCTGTTTGGCCTCCGGACTCACTAGGGCAGGGGTAGGCAACCTTGGCTCTTTTATGATTTGTGGACTTCAACTCCCAGAATTCCTGATCCAGCCTGGCTCAGCTTGGAAACTCTCCCTTTCCCCTCAGCATGGCTGGCTCAGGAATTCTGGGAGTTGAAGTCCATGAGTCATAAAAGAGCTGAGGTTGCCTACCCCTGCACTAGGGGAATATAGGTAATCCCTGACATACAACCACAACTGAGCCCAACATTTCTGTTGCTAAGTGAACTAATTGTTAAGCAAACTTTGCCCCATTTTTACAACTTTTTTTGGCCATAGTTGTTAAGTGAATCACTGCAGATGTTAAGTTAGTCACACGGTTGTTAAGTGAATCCGGCTTCCCCATTGATTTCGCTTTTCAGAATGTCACACTGCAATTGTCATAAATATGAGTCAGTTGCCAAGTGTCTGAATTTTGATCATGTGATCCATGGGGATGTTGCAATGGTCATAAGTGTGAAAAATGGTCATAAGTCGCTCTTTTCAGTGCTGTTGTAACTTTGAGTGGTCACTAAAGGAACTGTTGTAAGTCAAGGACTATTTGTACTACACTGGAGATGGCTATTGACTAATTAGTTGACCTCATCCTGCTGCCTCCGCCCATCTTTTAATTCATATTATTGCCCTTGTTTATTTTTATTGACTCATTGCCTTGCTATTCTTATGTTTACATTTTTTTTATTATTTTTTCCATTTTATTATTGTGAGCTGGCCAGAATAGCCCCATGGCAACATGGGTGGCCAATAAATTTAACAAACAAACAAATAAATGACTTGCATCACTAAAGATATTCTCTGAGAACTTTTGTAACATTCTCCCATCCAAATATTAACCCAGCCTAACCCTTCTTAGCTAGTTTCCTGCCTAATAAATAGTACTGAACAATACTTGTCCTTAGAACTGGGAATTTTGAATGGTGGCTGGGTATACTTGCTAGCAACTTTTCCTAATCTGGTTTTCTCTGAAGTTCAGGTACAGTTACTTCCAGAATTCTTTGAGTTTTATTCACAATCTATCTGAAGGATGCCAGATTGGGAATTGTTACAAGAATTAATCTGTTCCAGCCAAACCAAGGACACAACATTTACGTTTCAGTGTTACCTGTGATCTGGCTTTGGTGACATTGAGGACGGTGAAATAATGAACATGGTTGCTTTCAGCATTGAATTTGGCCAGGCTCTCCGCCGCCGTTTCCCAAAAAGTGGCTTCAGAAGGGTCACTAGGGGTTGGACAATCAGGGCAGATTTTTGCCATAGCAGCTGGAGAAACTATAGAGAACAATATAGCAAACATTTAGAAAAGTGTTTCTCAACCCTGGCAACTTTATGGAGGGGGGATTTCAACTCCCACAATTTACCAGCCAGCATTCATGTGTGGGAAATTGTGAGAACTGAAGTTCACCTATTTTAAAGTTGCCAAGGTGGAGAAACACTGAATTAGAAGATTGGTCCAATATAGAATTGGATTTCAGCTCATATCTTTAGATGAATGCGCAAATTTGGATTTGATTGAAAATTGAGCCTCTTTATCTCTTGACCATGTTACCATATGATCATATTGTCTAAATCAGAGGTGGGGAACGATGGCCCCTTTATGATTTGTGGACTTCAACTCCCAGAATTCCTAAGCCAGCATGGCTGGCTCGGGAATTCTGGGAGTTGAAGTCCACAAGTCATAAAAGGGCCATACTGTACATGTTGTAGTCAGTCTGACTCTTGTTTGTTTATATACAATGGGTCTTACTGGGCTGCCAAGTCACACAGTGCTTCATGAATTGAATGTAAAGTGAAATTTTGGCTTGAATAGAAGATAAAAAAAAAATCTAAATTCCATTCTTGGATTAATTACAAATATTTGTTTCATTATTTGAATTTGATGGAGAATTTCAGTTGTTAGTCTCCTGCTCATAGTTTAATTCAGACATTAAAATTAGATGCAAAGGGACAACATGTTTGTTCTGTAGGATTTTTTTCTGTACATGTACAGCAAATCTTATCAGATTATTGAAATATCATGACAACATGGAGGTCACTATGTTTTTGAGTGTCTGATAATAAATTTTGCATACCCATTAATTTGCACAGAAATATATATATTAAAGTACAATATGTACAAAATAAAAATGAACAACAATTCATTAGAATAAAAAGTTGTGAGAAACTGCACATGCAAAAAGGAGCCATGTGGAAATTTATAGAAAATGAAATCAGGCCAAATAGCACCTGTGGTTGAGAAATAGAGCAAACAGAAACTCCAGATGTAGCTAAGATATCCTGAAGACTGAAATAAATCTTTAAAATTTAATTTTGGGGCCTTTGCATCTACTTTTTAAATTTCTGTGGGGAAATCTGTAAAACTGCAATTGGGAATTATATGTGCTTGATACATTTTTTCTTGCAAACCTATATGTAGGAAAATACGTACGTGATCGTAAAACACAGTCATAACTGTACAATTGTGAATGATTTGAATTCCTGTTGAAGTGAATTATTATTTTGCATTGGCCATAGACCTGGAACAAGAAAAGGTAGTTTTTGTTAGTCACCCACTTCTTTTACCAATGATTTCATGATACATAATCAAAAGCTGTATCTTTTCCACACCTTAGACTCCAGTTTACTTTCCTTTCAATATGAGAGGAGTCAAATTTTCTATATTTCTTGTTCTCCACATTTCCATAGTTCCTACATTTTTTTCCTGCAATTTTGTGCAACCCTATTTCTACTATGGATCTGAAGGGGCAGCTCACTGCAGAGAATTATCATAAATGTGCACGCACATGCTAAGGGAACCAATGGAAAGAGTGGAGAAGTGGTGAAGGATATTCTGAAGAGGCATGTTTGTTGCGATACGACAAGAGGGTGGAGTGACTCCCTCAGCCTCCTTTGCAAACCAGTTCAAAACCCAGATTCAACTTCCAATCTCAGTTGGTAGTTTTTTAAACTAAGTAATTGATTACTTACTGTCTCGTGTGCCTCTCTAATTTTGCACTCTTTCCACAAGTTTCTGCTCTGGACATGGCATTCAGTTTCTAACACATCCAAGGTGATGTAGAAAAGAGAACCACCCATCCACTATGGACAAACAAAGGAAAATTCTTGAAAAGGCAAAGCAGGGTGTCAATCACCATAAGTACATTACATGGAATTAAATTAAGCTTCAAATTATCATTCAGAAAAAGGCAAGAATTCAACCCACTTCCACTCAGTGTCAGGAAACCAACTACCCTTTTGATGAATCCAGCAGTGTCCAGTTAGAAGATGAGCAGGAGTGGTCCCTGGGATTTGCAATCACTCATCTGACTCTGGTTGTAGTGGAAATTGATTTTTTTTTTCTTCTGTAACTCCCATGTGGAATATGGGATCATAAACTGAGCTCCTGAAGGGAAAGCTTTAATCCTGCACAACCTGCACACGATCACCCAACCCCAAAATATACATTGACTTTATCTAACACCCAAAGTTGGTTGGGTACCACAGAAATAACTTAAGAAATATCTGACTTGGCTTTAAAAAGTTACAATCTGCAAGATGCTGCACTGAAAAATACCGCCAATCTTCATTTCAAAATATATGAAAGGAGGAGGTTTAGAACTTTTATACTGGTCAAGAAGAGAGGTGTTTCTTCTTCCCTTTAGTACTGACTGCTTTCTGTGTATCACTTTTTAAACCTTTTCCTATTAATGCTGGCTTGCTTCAGTTGCATTTAGAACACTAAACCACCATCACCGCTGAGTATATTTGAGTGATTAGACAGGTCACTGATTCTGTACAAGTTGTGGAGATTGGAAGGAAGACACCAAAACATGCTGGAGCTTTGAATGCTGACATATTTATGGAGTACGAATGTCCATAGAGCCATCAGGCAGTGTTCCAGTATTTGAGGGGCTGCCACAAGGAAGGAGAGAGGGTCAACTTATTTTTCAAAGCACCAAAAGGCAGGTCAAGAAACAGAGGGTGGAAACTAATCAAGGAGAGAAGCAAACTAAAATTAAGGAGGAACTTTCTAACAGTGAGAATAATTAACTAGCTTGCCATCAGAAGTTGTGGGTGCACTATCATTGGGGTTTTTAAAGAAGAGACTGGACTTGTCTGAAATAGTATAGGGCAGGGGTTCTCAACCTTGGCAACTTTAAGACTTGTGGACTTCAACTCCCAGAATTCCTCAGTCAGCAAAGCTGGCTGAGGAATTCTGGGAGTTGAAGTCCACAAGTCTTAAAGATGCCAAGGTTGAGAACCCCTGGTATAGGGTCTCCTGTTTGAGCAGGGGTTGGACTAGAAAACTTCCAAGGTCCCTTCCAATTCTATTCTGTAATTCTAACTCTTTACTCCAAATGATTTATGCTTGGGACAAAAAATTATTTGAAACTTGGGGAATATCCATTATAGTCCCAACTGGTCCCATCAACTTTATGTGGAAGATCTAGGATAGGTACAGTCCTGTCTCATTAAAAAAAGAGGAATGCTCAGGGATATTAGGATCTGCTATGGAAGATAGTTACTTCAGTCTTATAGTAATGATGCACAACAGAGGGTGTAGGACAAATAGTTGCTTCCCTTCTCTCCGTACACTTAATTTATGAATCAGAACAGAGCTGGAACGGACCTTGGAGGTCTTCTAGTCCAACCCCCTGTTCAAGCAGGAGACCTATACCATTTCAGACAAGTGACTGCCCAGAAATCCTGGCTCCTGATTTCTTGTGTCTGATGATATAAAAAAAATATGAGAGCCAGTTTGGTGAAGTGATTAAGGCATCAGGCTACAAACCAGGAGGCTGGGAGTTCTAGTCCTGCCTCACAAAGCCAGCTCTTCTTAAAAGCCTTCAGTGATGAAGTACCCACAACTTCTGAAGGCAAGCTGTTCCACTAGTTCTCACTGTTAGGAAATTACTCCTTAGTTCCAGGTTGCTTCTATCCTTGTTATTGTATTATTATTGTATTACTATTTTTTATTATTAGATTCATCAAATCTAGTTTGGAAGAATCTGGATAATTAGCAGATAAAAATGGCTGTCTAGTCTCTTCTTAAAAACTTCCAGTGTGAATGCTCCAACACTGGAAGTTTTTAAGAAGAGACTGGACAGCCATTTGTCCGAAATGGTATAGGGTTTCCTGCCTGAGCAGGGGGTTGGACTAGATGACCTCTAAGGTCCCTTTCAACTTTATTATTATTATTATTATTATTATTATTATGGATCATCGCACAGTCAGCCAGATGTTCAGGGGATTGGACTAGATGACTTCTAAGGTTCCTTCCAACATCATCATCATCATCATCATCATCATCATCATGGATCATCGCACAGTCAGCCAGATGTTCAGACTGGATTTGGCATTTTGTCTATCTGTTGAGTCCTTACCCAGGACCTGGGATAGGCAGATGTGGATGTTTGATGGTATTACAGATATCGTCGCAGGATGGAATTATTATTATTATTATTATTATTATTATTATTACTACTACTACTACTACTACTATTATTATTATTATTATTATTATTAAAGAAAGAACTGGGTGGCAATGAATGGCTGTTTGTTTTTTGTTTTTTTTTACCAATCCAGATAGCCTTAGTTTAATGTGACATCTTTAAAGATGGATGCTATCAAATTGAAGGAAAGAAAAAAGTCAATAGGAGAAGGAAATTTTACCTGGGGTAGTTCACGGACATCAAAAATGCGCTGGAGGCCAAGAACGTAGCCTTCTTTCCGATGTGCATTGAGTTTGTTAAGAGCCATTTCTGCAGCCGCCTTTACCTCCAAAGAGTTGCACGTTGGGGGCAGAAAGCGAAAAGGTGGAGAAGTAACCACTGAGTGAAGCATCTGAACCCCAATGAAGAAGGAAATCAAAAGAGACATTTTGGAAACGTTTGAGGAGTCAGAGAAGACAGCAACTGGAGCCAAGCTAGGAAAACAACGCTAGGAAAGATCTTTACATTTTTTTATATACTTTAACTCCATAGCTAATATTTGTTTTTTCTATCTCACAGTGACCCTCACCTTCGAACCTCAACATACACATTATTAACACCGAGTCAATGATTAGAAGTCTATAGTTTTGCAGGGTGGCTCTTACCAAACAACAACCAAGTTGTTGGATTTAAATCACTGCACCAAAAATCTATGTCTGTTTTTGTCTTCAGTTAGAAATGAGATGTAGGACCCAGAAGAATTGACTCACCACTAGAACTAAAATACAGGTAGTCAATGTATGACCACAATTGAGTCTAAAATTTCTGTTGCTAAGTAAGACAATTGTTAAATGAATTTTGCCCCATTTTATGATTTTCCTTGTCACAGTGTCAGGTTAGGCATTGTGCTTGCCCTGGGTGGAGTGTGGGTTACGGTTGGGGGTTAGGCATTGTGGGTCAGAGATGGGAAGGCCTGGAAAAAAACTGGAAAACGTCTTTGGAAAAAAACGGAAAAACTGTTTTCTTCCCCACCAAACCTTTCCTGGTTTTTTCCCCAGGGCTTCCCATCTCCCGTTAGGATTGGGCTGTGTGTGGGGGTTAGAGTTACCATAAGCATGGGAGGCCTGGCTACAGCCTCATGTGGGTCAGATGGGGGGGGGATCCACCAAGCCTCATAGCCATGCCATTGGCGAGTGCAACGTGGCTCGGCTAAAAGTGGCCGCAGAACAAGTGGGGCATGTTCCCCCCTCACCTCTTCCCTTTCGCTCCTGAGCCAGACTGCTGGCACTTTTGGCCACCTGGACGTCTTCACAGCTCTGCCCACAGTCACCAAAGCAGCAGATGATCAGGGAGGGAGGGTGCTGAAGCGAGCCATCAACACTCATGCCAGCCACTCCTTCCCCGTGGAGCTGGAGAGCTTGCCACACCACTGTTCTTGCTTCCCCCAGGAATTGCATTTCTTTGCTTACCTGACTTCCAGCCCCGTCCCATTTCTCCTCCTCCACTGCAGGGAAATAAAAGAAGTTTGTGGAGAGAAAAAAAGTCAGTCAATCAATTCCAACTTCTTGTAAAAAAAAAAAAAAAGATCTTGCCATTTTGATCCTGGGCTGCCGCCTTCCCACTCACCTCTCAGATGGGCCCAGCCAGGCCAAGAAGGCGGCCTCCCCAGAACCCCAGGCAAAGGTCCCCCACTCCAGCTGGAAGAGCGTCGGCCTGGCTACCCCCACTTTGGCGCCCTTCCTGCCGCCACCCAGCATGGCCTCCCCAGGGCTGCAGGGGCTGGCCTGGCACAGGAAGGGCACATGGCTGCATGCCTTAGCTAACGTTCTTCTAAGGGCATCCTTTTAACTTATTATTTCCTTGTCACTTTCCTATTGCTAGGCAGTAGTGTCCCGCCATTGGTTACTGATCATGTAACACTCACCACAGCTGCCACTTTTCTGCCTTAGCAATTTCTTTAATGAGTTTCCTTAATTCCAACCTGACACCTTCAATATTACATATTATATGATATGATAGATATTGTTGTTTACAAAATAACTGGGTTTGTGAGGCTTATTAGCCAGAAAATGGTTGATTTTATGGGTGCATTTGCATTAAAATGGCCGCCGGAGGTATGGCTTGTTTGCTAAGCATCCATAGATGAGAAGACAAATTGGGAAAGTGTCAACCCTTTGGAATGAACCAGACAGGAAGCAGGACAAGATGAACTAATTCTTCTTTATTGTAAGACTACATTAACAGAATTTTGCAAATCTGAGAGGACAAACTTCTCCCTGCTTCTTTTAACTGCTTGATTCATCTGAGTGGGCCCTTTCTAAGATTCTTCCTCTGTCTGTGAAGCGACTGGGGGTTCCTGCCTCTCTTCTCTGCTCATTCCCTGGGCAGCTTCTCCTTCCCTCATCCTCAAAAGTAATCCATACATTGAATTACACAGTAGCACATGTGCACAAATATACACACATCCCTCTTTTCATGTTTTCTATTTTCCTAGCTTATTAGCACATTATGAGCCAATATAGTGCAGTTAATGGTATCGGACCTGAATTGTGAGAGTCACTGGATGTCTTTGGACTGACATCCTTTCCTAACACAGCCTCCATCGCAAGGCGGCTGTTGTGAGAAAGTGCTTTGTGCTTGGCACTAGGTTAGCTGCAAAGTGCATTTGTCCCAATTGCTTCGACTGAGCTGGGAGAACATTCTCCGTAGGCAGACGGTCTGAAGCCCAGAGACTTTGTTTTTCAATCATTGGGCTGGTCCTGTAAAATGGCCTCCCAAGGGAAATTCAATGGATTCAAAATGGCCTCCTATCACAAGTTCATTGGAATCAATGGAAGTGTATTGTAAGTATGTTTTCTTTTCTTTTATATCCTCATATTATTATTCTCTGAGATCCTGAGGGATATATATAAAATGAATTAATGATTAGTGCAAAAGATTCCAAATTTCCAAATTAACCCTTCATTGAGAGCTCTTGTGACAATGTTAGGCAAACAATGGTCAAGAGAGATCTCCTTCACTGCATATATTCAGGAAAAATGTAGAGGTTTTCCCCCCCTCCCCGGAATACCTTAAATGGGATTTCTGCACCAAGCCATGAGTTGGAACAGTGGTCTCAATCAGTGTTTTTTACTGTTGGTTGGACATGTGGACTTCAATGCTCAGAATTCCCCAGCTAACATATTGTAAAAGCAATGCTTTTTAAACAGAGTCCAGCTAACATGCAAACCCTGGTTTAAATAACCTCTTAGAACTTTGTAATATTGTTTACTATGTTGGTTTTTTTTAGGCATCTTATGAGAAGTAAAGAAATGTTTGGATTTCTATACATCAAATAACCTCTACTACTCAATTTAAAAAAAAAAAAAATTCTCCAAGCTCTAAGTCTGAAACATCCAGGGAAAAAACAGGTGTCGCTCCTTACAACAGGAAAAAATGCCTTACATTCTCACAGGGTCTTCTGCACAGGCTGTGTGTTTGTTTCAAAAGAATAAATGGAAAAAACAAACAAACTTGATTTTTGAAATAACCACTACAAAGACTGTCATGCTACATGGTTTCTTTTATTGAATGTTTTTAATATTTCCTTGAGCGGAAACGTAGCTGCTGTTCTTGTGATAAAGGAGGGAGAGAAGGAGGGGAGGGGAGGGAAAAGGAGGAGGGGTGGGAGGTTTCCTCTGAATTAAAGTTTCAGTGTTGTACATCGCCTTTTGTTTGGGAGGTTTCAGCCTGTGGCCGTGAAGGCAGTTGAAGACCACGGATCTCTATTGCAACCTTTCCTGGGCATTCAGCTGATTCGGAAAACCCTTTGGGGTAGGGAGGAATGGTTGACGTGGTTTCCTCTCCTAGACCAGGAACGGTTGGATGTGGCTCCTTCAGTTCTGCCACATCAGGCTTGCTCACAGGAAGATAGTCGATCACCTGTCCCCCTGTTTCCTTCTGGTTTGCTGGTGTTTCTGTGGCATTAGCTGAGTGCTGAGGATGGTGTAGCTCCTGGGGTTCAGATCCAGATTAAGACAAAAGAGAGAGCAAGTGACTTAGGGAACTGTCCATATCTGGCCTATAAATTGTGCTTAGTTATTTTGTGAAATGCTCAAGACAATTGAGGTTCATAAATTCTGTTCTCTGGATGCAAGAAGGGGAGACTTTTCCTACTGTACTTCCTCACAGGTAGACCTTATTTTTTTTGGTCAGTTTTACCAGGTGGGATGGACAGGAAACATGTCCAGGTAAGATCACTCTACTTTGTTGCATGGTTACATTAATAAACTCTTGTAAATCTGAAGGTACAAATTGACCATCTCCTTTACAGCCCATGAAACTAGGGAGGCTGTTTCTCCATTATGCAGCTACTTGGCTTATCTGACTATTCCCTAAGAAGCATCCTATTGGTGCAGTGGTTAAAGTGTAGAATTGCAGGCAAATTCTGCCATAGCCTGGAATTTGATCCTGTTGGGGCTCAAGGTTGACTCAGCCTTTCTGAGATTGGTAAAATGAGGGCATGGATTCTTGGGGGAAATATGCAAATAATGTTTAAATTGTAAAATGCCCAGAAAGCAACATGGGATGATGTTGTTAGTTGTGAAGTCATGTCCGACCCATCGCGATCCCATGGACAATGTTCCTCCAGGTCTTCCTGTCCTCTACCATCTTCTGGAGTCCATTTAAGCTCACGCCTACTGCTTCATGGGATGATATACAAGCCTAAATGCTATTGCTAACTCTTTGCCCCATCTCTCAAGGTCTTTTCCACATACATTTACAATTACCTATAAACTGCTTCTTTAATTGGGAAGGGGGTAATGTTGTTTGATTGTTGCTAATCATTTCATTTCACTATTGGATTTTAAGAGTTACAGTATAAACTACCTCACTCTAGAGGCTTTGGGCAGAATTTTAAATCAAAATAAAATAAACATCATTATTAAAATAATGACATCTCAGACAAATCTTATAAGAACATTGTCATCTGCCTGCTTAATTCAAGCCAGGTCTTAACTAGTCATTTACTGAATTATTATTTGAGAAATCTGTTGGTTTGCTGGGTAAAGTCCAGTCAATGTATTTTAAAAAGTAAACTATACTCAGCAACCCAGGAATAAATATTTTCTGCAGATGACAGTTGTCCGACGAACTTACCGGATGTGGAAAGAATTCGCAATTTACAGAGACAGTTTTCTGAAGTTTTATCCCTCTGTCTAGTACAGAGCCCTTGCATAGGCCTGCCTCCTAGAGCAAAAGAGAAAGTTTTCATCAGCAAAACCCAAGAAATTTAACCTGCCAAGATTTCTAATATGTAATGGGATAGCAATAGATATGGTTGATCAGAGGGCCTTCTCCATTTCTCCCTGTGGTTGGTATGCCATTTCTCCTCCTCAAAATGACCATTTCTGTAGTCCCCTCCATGGGAAAGCTGAATTCTTCTGCTATGCTTCTTATAATTTTTAAATTCTTTCTTTCTTTTCACAGTAATCCAACCATTCCATGGATTTTTTTGAAGCAAATTTTCCAGAATAGGAAATGCATTTTGGTGTTCCAGATATTAATTTTGATATTTTGATGATTATGTTCCTATAATTATATATTCTCTGATTGTTGGAGAATTCTCCTACAAAATTTTGGAAATTGATAATTAACCTTATGGTTAATAGCTTGACTTGGAAAATAATGATCTACTAAGCTTGAATTCTAATTGGAAGAGCTTCTTCTTTCATTTGTTAAGGGTTTATTTAAGGTTGGAGAGCCAGTTTGCTGGGATGATAAGATTATTCCAGCTAGAAATGGAGTTTGGTTTGGATCAGAAGACCACTAATGTCCATTCCAACATAATTCTCTGCTTCCTCTCCATTTCTAAAAGGTGGACATGTAGAACAGGTCATCAGGTTTAATGATAAAAGGATGGTCTGAAAGTAGGTCTAGACCAGTGCTTCTCAATGTTTGTGTGACGGCGACCCCCGTCACACAAACGTTCTGCGCATGCGCGGCGCCACGCGCATGCGCAGCTCCGCCCTCCATGTGCGACGCGCATGCGCGACGCCCCCCCATGCACGCCGCGCGTGCACGGCGCCCCCATGCACGATGCGCGTGCACGGCACTGCGAAAAATGGCGGATCGCCGCCTTTGGCGACCCCCGAAAAATGGTCGATCGACCCCAAATGGGGTCGCGACCCATAGGTTGAGAACCGCTGGTCTAGACATTAGTCTCTTCTGTGGCTTCAGTGTGGATCTGTATTATTTGTTTGTTTGTTTATTTATTTAATTTATATGCTGCCAATCCCAGTGTCCTGAATGACTGTGGTGGCTTATAATAGAATAAAAACATAGATATAAAAACATTAAAAACTTTAAAATCAAGACCAGCAACAATGAAATAGGAACACCAATGGTACAGGGCTGGACTTTTGTTTCTCACGCAGCCTCCCTGGCCCCCATATTTCTTCTTTCTGTGTTTAGATAGATTTATTATAGCTAATATGAGCCTTTGCCTCCCAATTGTTCCTTACTGAAGATACTGAGATCATGCAGAATGCTAGAAATAGGTGAACAAAACCCAGTGCCTACTGTATGTTCACTTAAGAATTTATGTCCAAAGTCATAAGCTTTGGTGTGAGTTTTCCTTTCTTATCATTTTGTGACCCCTGCAAATTTAAGAGTGTAGAGACCACAACTGTAGTGCAGGGAGAGAAAAAGAGAAACTATGAAGGTGCAGGAGGTGAATGTTGGTGGAAAAAGAAAGGGGGTTGAGTTTAGGAGCCGAAATAGAAGCCAGTGGGGTATAGAACAAATTGAGAATGACTGAGAGATGAAAAAGGAAATGAGAAAAAGATAGCAAACACAAGCAAAATTAAGCCCTACGTAAAGGAATGGAATTTGAGGTCCCTAAAGGAGAAAGTCAGAGAAAGAATTGTGTTATCTTGACTGCTAAGGGAGGTGGGTGGTTAAGAACACAACCAAATGGGAAAATTTGCAACCTTGTAGGGTACTGTAAATGATATCTTTATCACTTATAAATATGGTATAATGCATCCATAGGCATATAAATTTGCATATAATACACTTAATATATTAGAGATGCATTGTTTGTATAATATATCTACCTCTTATTAATTACAAGAGGAGAAGAAGCATTGGGGCTTTGCACTGGGGCTGGTTGACCGATCCCACCTCCCCCCTGTTCATCCTACTCCCTCCCAGCCCATCTTTTAGTTAGGGTTGAGTATTTATATTTTCATAATATTTTATTTGTATTGTGTACAGGTTTTGTACTGTTTTGTCCTTTTAATATTGTGAGCCGCCCAAAGTTACCCTGCTGTAAGATAGGTGACCAATAAATTTAATAAATAAATAAATATGTTAATGAGTGAATAAATGAGTGAATGAATGAATGAATGAATTCAGTATTCCATAATGCAACGGCTGAATTAATAAACTATAGCATGGCATAATGTGATGGCTTGATTTATGCAACAAACTAAGGTAATAATTGATGGATTCCCACAGATTACCTCATCCCATTTTAGGCTAGTCTAAATGTTGAATAAATGCAGCCACTGAGTCTGGCAGACACTGATGAATAAAGAACACAATATGAGCAGTGGAAAATTTAGTTCTTTAGAAGACACACATTGAGCCATGATGTTGAGCTAAGTTGTATGCAAGATTGTAAATACTTACTGCAGTTTGAGATGAGAGGAGAGAGCACTGACTAAGGTCAGACACAGGGGTACTTTTATGACAGGAGGTCTCCTGGATGATGAATTCCACTATTTTGGAAATACCAGCAACCACCTGTAATAAGTAATAAACATTTAGAGTAGGTCACATTCTCTGCAGGAAATGTTCCTCATAATCTTGGGTGCCCTATCAATCTTCAATAACTTGAAGCCTCCAGAGAGTCCGCATCATTCTTAGCACTAAGAGAACTGGAGAACTGTTAGGATGTTGTCAATTATTTTCAAGAAGAGGACATAAATATATTCAGTAATCAAATTGAATGTAGCATTGTAGAAAGATCAGAATCAAACCCATGTGGGAAACAGGACGGCCCTGGGAATCCCTCTGGCAGATTAAAATTAAAATCTTCTTCAGTTCAGATTTCTATAGACTTTGAGAATCTGTCTCTACACTTTCTTTGGCAATAATGTAGAAATCAACTGCTGTCTTCTGGAATTATTTCTGTTATTATTTTCAATTTCTACATTTTGCATAAACCCTGGTTTTTGCAGCAGTTTCTATACAAATCAAGGATACAGAATAGATCTTTAATTGTCCACATTGTTAGGAAGTTTCTCCTTAATTCCAGGTTGCTTCTTTCCTTGATTAGTTTTCATTGTTTCTTGTCCTGCCCTCGTAGTTTGGAAAACAAGTTGACCACTTCCTCTTTGGGGCAGACTTTCAAATACTGGAATATTACTATCAAGTCCCCCCCCCTCCCCCAAGTCCTTCTTTTCTCTAGACTAGCCATACACAAATCCTGCTTTATGTTTTCATATATTTTAGTCATATGTTTTAATCTCAAGGCCTTTAATCATCCTAGCTGCTCCTCTTTGCACTTTTCCCACAGTCTTAACATCTTTTTTGTAATGTGATGACCAAAACTGGATGCAGTATTCCAGGTGTGGTCTTATTAAGGCTTTATAAAGTGATACTAATACTTCATGTGATTTTGATTCTATGCCTCTGTTTATGCATACAAAGATTGTATTAGCTTTTGGAGCTACTACAGCACACTGCTGGCTCATGTTTAAGTGATCGTCCACTGGGACTCCAAGGTCACTCTCACATTATTGTTTCTGAGCCAGGTTTTTCACTTAATCTGTACTTGGATCTTTGGTTTTTCCTACCTAAGTGTAAAACCTTGCTTTTCTCTACATTAAATTTTATTTTGTTGGGTAAGGCCCATTGTTCAAGTGTGTCAAGATCTTTTTGGATCCTGAACTTGTTTTCTTGGGTGTTGGCTATTTCTGCCAGCTTAGTGTCATCTGCAGATTTAATGTTCCTCTTCTATTCCCTCATCTAAGTCATTTATGAAGATATTGAAGAGTACCAGGCCTAAGAGGGACAGCATTAACTTTCTTGCTTGAAAACACTCCGTCTCAGCTTTACCTGTGAACTTGCTTTGGTGACCTCGACAAGGGCAAAATAATGATTGTGACCATTTTCAGCATTAAATTTGGCCAGGCTCTCTTTTGCTGCTTCCTGAAGACTGTCTTCAGAAGGGTTCTTGCGCACTGGACAGCCAGGGCAAGGAGGAGTAGAAACTTTAAGGGGAAAAAAAGCATCATTTGAAAAGGTGAGACAAGGTGATTGAATATGAGCTTGTACATTTAAATCGAAAAGCTTAGATCAGCTTGAAAATTAAGCTTCTCTATCAAACCGGTATCTCATCAGGGTCATAGTTGTTTAGCGACCTGACACAACACTCAATAGCAGAGAATCAGTGAAGACTGTCATTATGAGGGGTACAATTCTGAAAAATATCTATATCTCAGGGTTGGACTGTGGAGTTTTAAGTGCTCCCTCAGCTTGGTGGTTTAGATGATTCATTACCGAAAACCTCCTCTGCCAACTAGCATCAGACTGGAATCCCCAAATATAAACTCAATTTGGATTTTTTTTTTCTTCCATATATTCGTTTCTGATTGTTGGAGACAGCCTGGATAACTCCATGCAATTTATTTGGGAAGATTTTTCAGAAGCACTTTGCTATTGCCTCCTTCCCTGGGTTCGTGCCCGGAAATGGAACTAGAACTCATAATCTCCCAATTTCTAGCCTGATGCCTTATCCACTATATCAAACTGGTTCTTAATCTGGATTACTTTTTCTTTCATGACAGAATCAGATTCTACAACGTAGTAACATCTGATGAATGCATATGTCAAGGCTGAAGTAACTTTTATTCCATCATCCATTAATACTTCATGAAGGAGATGCCTCCTTATCCGAAGTACAAACCACATTTGCAACAACTTCCAGCTCACACCATTCACTCTAACTGCATAGTCAGCCATTTTGGTAAAGCTTGAATCATCCACTAAATGCCTGTTGAACTTCTCATGTACTGAACGACAAACAAATCAAGTGAGCCATTTTGCAGAAAAGACCGAGGCAGAAACTAGTAACTGTTTTTTAACCTAATTAACCAACAAGAGTGGCCACAGTGCATCATGAATTGGTTGGAAAGCATCATTTGGGTCTGAGTGGCAGAAAAAAAATGTGAATTCCATTTTTAAATTTAATTTAATTAAAAATTTCCTCAGAAATGCAGGCGTAGTTAGTAGAAAATAACACCTTATACTAATAAAAATGCTGACAGAAAATGAACGGAGAAACAAGTGTGTGAAAAATGTATAAATTTGCAACAAAAATATACGGAAAAGGAAATTGGGCCAAACTACACCTGTGGTTGAGTAATAGAGCAAACTGAAATTACAGATGTAACCTAAGATACCTGGAAGAACAGACAAGGCTTTAAAATTTAATTTTGGTGCGTCTGCATCTACTTTTTAAATCTCTTTGGAGATATCTGTAAAACTGAAATTGTGAGATATATGTGCTTGGATAGACATTTTTGCCAAACCTACATGGAGTAAACATGGAAAATACGTACGAGGGCGTAAAATGCAGTTATTTCTGTGCAAGAACGAATCATTTGTTTTCCTGTTTAATCTAATTATTATTTCACAATGGCCAAAGACCTGGAACAAAAGAAAGTAGTGTGTTAGCGCTACCGGTTTCTTTTACCAATGATTCCATGACACATAATGAAAAGCTGGATCTTTTCCACACCTTAGACCAGTGTTTCTCAACCTTGACAATTTTAAGGCATGTGGACTTCAACTCCCAGAATTCCACAGCCAGCAATGCTGGCTGTGGAATTCTGGGAGTTGAAGTCCACATGCCTTAAAATTGTCAAGGTTGAGAAACACTGCCTTAGACCCAGGTTTACTTTCCTTTCATAATTCTTTCCACATCTCTACAGCTCCTACATTTCTTCCTGTGATTTTATATAACCCCACTGTCTTTTTTTTTTTTTTTTTGCCCTGAAAATGTATTAGGACTAGGAAGTGCTCATTCGTGCAGCAAACATGATCGATCCAGGAGATGTGATCTCAGTTCTACCCGTTTTAAACCAAACTTAAAAGGCCAAAGGCCAAAAGTATTCTCTTGGAAAATTGCAGACATGGAAGAACCAGTTTAAGTTGCAGGAGTGGGAGTTGCAGCATTGACATTTGGATTGAATATTAGGAAACCCTTCTCAAGTGTAAGAGCTGTGGGACGGTGGGAATATTTTGCCAAGGGAAATAATGAGCTCTCCCTGTCCATAAATACATTTACAGATGACCCAAGAGCCCTCTGTCAGGCAGGCTTTCTCTTGAGGTCCTCCACTGAATGGGGGTTTGACCTGTTCATCTCCCTCCCTTCCAATGCTATGATTCATGTGTACAATGCCACTGAGTGGAAATGGCACTACAGTGCAGGGAATCAGTGGCTACGAGGGAGAAGTGGGAAAGGCTATTCTGAAGAAAAAAGTTTGCTACCACATGGCAAGTGGGTTGAGTGACATCCTCAGCCTCCTTTGAAAACCAATTCAAAACCCAGATTTGACTTCTTTCTAAACCCCATTGGTTTTAACCAATGGGGTTAAACAAGCAGATCGATTACTTACTGTCTCATGTGGACGTCTAAACTTGCACTCTTTCCACGATTTCCTGCTCCGGACATGGCAATCGGTTTCTAGCACATCCAAAATGAGGTTATAAACAGACTCATCATTCTGTTACGGAGAAAGGAAAACTCTTAAAAAGGCAAGACAAGGTGTTAATCAATTGGAGCACACTGGATGAAGATAAATTAACCTTCAAATCAACCTTCAGAAAAAGACAAGAGATCATCTGATTTTCACTTGATATCAAGAAATCAACTGCACTCTTAGATAAATCCAGCAGCTTCCTTGAATGGGGCAAGGATGTCCAATTAATTTTAATTACTTATTAAATATATATGCTGTCTGTCTTGCTTTTGAAGTAATGCAAGCATAGTTGTGGTGGTCTTGTGATGCAAGACTGATAGCTTTTTTTTTTTACCCGCTTGACAATATTGTGCACATGCCAAAAATGTTTGCAGTTCTGGTGGGATACTGCAGTGCTGTACCTTAGTCTCCAATGAAGTGGGAAGAGAACCTGTAGACCACTAGATGAATCTCTCAGTATTTTAATGTTGTAATGGATCACTGTATTTTCAATGCAACTGTGGAAACTGATTACTTGGGAGAGCATAGGACAGGCTGGTCCTTAATCACTTTCAATTCTTTTCTCCCTTGTTTAATTTTCCTTCCCTGTATTTGGAACAGCAATCACCTGCTTCTTTGAGAAACTTAAATGACAAAAACCCTGTTCTTTTGAGAGTTGGGCACAAAAGTCTGTAGCATATTGGAACTTTGTATGCCAAGAGGTTTAGAGAGAATCTGTGTCTACAGAATCATGGTTTACTCCAGACAGTTTGTTACATGCGGCAAAATATTTATTTTAATCCTAGCAAGGGTGAACATCTATAATCATGAAACCTGATCCCAAATGATTAACTTAGAATATCTTGGACAGATATTACCCTGGTGGCAAATATCTGTAGCTTGGATGTAGGATGAGGGTAGAGATTCATTCTCCGAGCTTGTGGGTTGGTTTCTGAACGTTTCATTAACAGGCTGGGTAAGATCTTCAGCAGAAATTAGGGGATGTCAGTATTAATGTTGTGCTTATAAGGGCTTCGTGTGGTCAATAGATCTTGCGATGGGGGGTTCACATCAGGTGAGGGTCACATCAGGTGAGGGTCTTGTGATGGGTCTTGTGATGGGGAGATCACGTGAGGTGAGGGTCATTGGGAGGTGAAGTGCTGGTTGGAGAGGGTTGCATAGGTTGGTTGAAGATTGTTGCTGTCTCCGGTTGTCTATATGGTTGATCTGAATTATCAGAGGTTCATAGGCTGGTTGTAGGTCAATTTGTCAGTTGATGGAATTGCTTGTGGCACTCCACAATTGCCTGGCACTCCACAAGCAATTCCATCAACAAACACATCGACCAGCCTATGAACCCCTGAAAATTCAAATCAACTGCACAGCCAACTAATGATAGCACTAACACTCAACCAACCCATGCAGCCCCCCCAGCCAGCACTTCGCCTCCCAATGATCCTCACGTGTAATGACTTCCCCATCATAAGACCCATCACAAGACCCTCATCTGATGTGAGAAGAGGGCATCAAACTATTCTCCAAAGCACCAGAGGGTAAGACAAGAAATAATGGTTGGAAACTGACCAAAGAGAGATGCAACCTGGAATTAAGGGGAAGCTTCCAGACAGTGAGGACAATTAACCAGCGGAACAGCTTACCCCCAGAAATTGTGGGCGCTCCATCACTGGAGGTTTTTAAGAAGAAACCACTAGGCAGTCACTTGTCTGAGATGACATATGTTCTCCTGGACTAGAGAAGACCTCTAAGGTCCCTTCCAGTTCTATTCTATTCTATTCTATTCTATTCTATTCTATTCTATTCTATTCTATTCTATTCTATTCTATTCTATTCTATTCTATTCTATTCTATTCCATTCCATTCTTATTCCATTCCATATTCTATTCTGTTCTGTTCTGATGTGGATGTCAACGTTGCAAATATTGTATATTCTTGCTTTTGACAATATGTAGAATTGTCTGGTAAATTATGGGATTAATACAGAGCAGAAGGGGGGTTGGGGGTAAAGCCCGGGAAAGAAAGAGGAAGAAAACATTTGACCTTCACACTAATTGGATAATGTGAGATATGATGGCTAATTTAGGGAGGGAACATGCTGATAATTTAACTGCTCAGAGGAAGAGAACTTAGTTCCTAGTATCCCTCCGTTGTGCCTGTGCCGACATTTTGTAACAATAAAAGACTTTTAGGAAAATAATGCCTGGAAGTTCTTTGAAATGTTTCATTAGCTGGAACCATAACAGTGACCCTCCCATCACAAGACCTACTGACTCCATGAAGCCTTTATTAGCAGAAGAACACCGACATGGACATCCCCTTAATTCCACTGAAGATGTTACCTAGCCTGGTAACGAAAGTTCAGAAACCAGCCCACAAGCTCGGAGAACAAACCTCTACCCTCAGATATTACCCTGTCTTTTATATTAGTGGCTTGACTCTGTCTAATCAGAAAGTTGGCCCTACTTTGAGTATGTCTTTTTATTAGGGCTACCAAATCTAGGCTATATTTCTTGGGTGCCATCAAGTGATTTTATAGTTTTTTTCCTGCTCAAATACATTAGTGCTACCATGATTGGACACCAGAATGCTGGTGCTGAGTGGCAAGAAAGAAAAAAAAAATCAATAGAAGGAGGAGATCTTACCTCGGATACTTCTTGGGCGTCAAAAATGCGCTGGAGGCCAAGAACGTAGCCTTCTGTCCGATATTTGTTGTGTTTGTTAAGGGCCTCTTCTGCAGCAATGTTTACCCCCAAAGAATTGCACGATGGGGAAAGAAAGTGAGGAAGTGGAACGGAAGCCACTGCATGAAACAGCTGTATCCCAATTAAGAATGAAATTAAAAGGGCCATTTTGGAAACGTTTGCAGAATCAGAGAAGACAGCAAATGGAGCTATGCAGAGAGAGCAAGACTCTGACAGAGCTTTGTCTTTCTTTATATATACTTTGAAATCAGTAGCTAATATTTGCTCTTCTATTGCACCTTTAAATTTCAGCCTGTGAAGCAATGATTAGAAATGTATAACTTGGAAGGGGAATTCTTACTATAGTCATGCCCTTGAATTTGAACAACTTTTGCTATGCCTTCCTTCATCCCTCCTCCCCCCCTATTTAATTTTGATAGACATGGGGCCCAGTACAATTGACTATCACTAAAATGTATCTTAGTTTTTTTCAATTCCCATGTGTGACCTAGTTGTAATCATTAATGTGATGTGATCTAGTTGTAAACATTAATAGGGCCAACATGGGCACAGATAGAGGATCAAATAAAATGGGTTTTGCTGAAGAATAAAGTGGTAAAGAACCAGTTTTGCTCAAATTCTATTCAATCTGTATCCTATTTTCACTTTTTTTCAGTTCTAATTCCCTTCTAGTAATAAACATTATTCCACACTAAGCAAATACAATCCTTATTATTATAAGTAAATAAAGAATTGCCAGTTGATATTTGTTATATTTTTCTAAAAATGTCAATAATATCAGTTTAAAATATCTTTTCTAACCAAAACATATCTTAATTGCATTTGCATTCAATATCCATTTATTCAGTCTAGATTCTATTTTTGCTTTTTACAATTTTAATTCCCCTTCCATGTTCAAAATATCCCAATTATTTATAATTTCAAAACAAGTTATCTTTGGGTGACCAAACGTTTCCCCCTATTCAAAATTCTTAACATATTCTTTCCATATTTATACCAAGATATGATATTCTGATTACAAATCCTATCTATCTAATTATAATAATACTTCTATTTCTAACAATCTAGTCTTAACTATATTCAAATCTCTAATTGATAATGTAACATCCCCTCTAACAGGTCAAAGCTTTCAGTCTTACTCTTGCTTTCTTCCTTTGCCAACTAACTTTCCAAGTCAATACATTGGATCATCAAATAATTTTTCCTCTATTTTTATATATATTATTTGAGTCAAGAGAATCAATTTCGTTAAGGTATTTTTGAAAGAACTGGCCCATTGATATTCATTAAACAGCTTCCCTCCTTCTCCAATTCCCCACAGTTCTATTGATAGCTTTCTCTTCCATTCCATCAGCTTTCCTTCCTTGTCCTCCAATAAGTTCTGAGACTTTGATTTGTAGAATGTCTACTCCATTTCCAATATTCTCGTTGTGTCTTCTAAGACTTCATTTATCTGAGTCTGGTCACAATTTTCTTCCTTCAGATTCTCAATATTTGTGTCAGCATTTTCTATTTTTCCTTCTGTTTTCTGAGTTGCTGGTTCCTTCTCTGTATTTATTTTCTGGGTTTGTAGATTAAAATTAAAAAAATGTTCTTTTATCTCCTTTGTATTTCTTTTAAACTCATCACAAGCTAAAGCGATTGTTTCTTGTATTGATTTCAACATGGAGAAAATTTCTTTCTGTGATTCATCAGTATTTTCTTGATAATATGGCAAACTGAGGCTTCTGGAGACCTGTGTTAAAGATGGTTTTTCACCATTTAAAGTTAAGTAGGAAACATCCATTTTATTATTTGTAAGTAGTCTTTATGAGTTTATCCAACCAACTAACTGTTCTTAAACCTCCCCTAAGCAGATATAAATAAAGTTCAATTTTTTTCTGTCCAATGAGAAAGATATCCTTTCTGTCCAGGGAGAAAAAAAGAACCATTACAACTTGTTTAATAATCAAGATTTATAGTCCAAAGTGTTCCAAAGTGTCCCATCATATCCGGCAATAGTATATATGTCTTCTTCAGGAAGATAGATCCACAATACAGTTTTAAAAGTTAGTATTTTTGTTCATAGTTCAGACAGGCCAATTTTAAAATGATATTATTGTCTCTGCCACACAGATACGCAGTCCCAAGCCTATTCCATTTTCTCAGCTGCAAATCTCAAAAGTCAGAGCTTCAAGGCCAGCCAAAGCCTTATTTCACTCTGGGCTTCAAGCCAAGTTGCTTTTCGGAAAAAATAAATTGTAGTGCCATACATTCACCACTAGATGTCATCAGTGCCATTTTTCAGTTCTTAAAACCAAAACTTATAAGCTTTTCCAGCCTTTTTAAAAAAGTTTTAAAAATCACTTTTAGTCTCCAAATTTCCAAATCATATATATGTATTAGTTCCAAGTTAGCCTTATAGGTTTCTCCTTTTCTTCAGGTAATTAATTTGCCGCTTTTCTGAGAGAATGGGGTGGAAATTCCCTTTTCCTTGTCTTCAGGGGGAGTGCTTTGGGCAGATATTCAGGAAAAGATTTTAAATTCATAAAGAGAGGCTTAGATCTCACCCGGTTTCATCCACGTTGCTATAAATTTGCTTGGTAGTGTTTGGTGTCTTCCAAATATAGCCAGTCTTTCCCCTGCTGGTTTGGAGAGCTTCCTCGGATCAAATGGGGCGGGGGCTGCCACCATTCCATGATCAAACAATCATACCGCCTCTATGGGGTGGCTTTTGACCTTTTTCAGGGTCCCACAGCGGGACGAAATCAAACGCGGAAGACAGAGCTCGTCTTCCAGCGTCTGCCTCGCTGCGACGCCATAAGTGGAAGCCTGAAAATATTTTATTTCTAAATGACCTTCCATTTCAGAGTGGTTTATGAGGAAAAAACAACACCCCTCTTGGGAACCGTATAATATCCTGAAAGGCTGCAGTAAGAGGAAGAGGTTCTGAGGAAAAGGCATACTTTTTTTTTGAAAAGAGACCTGGGACTTCAAAATTTGGAATGAATCTCACATACCATTGTGAGAATAAAGGGAAGCATGGACCACAGCAGAACGCAGAAGAAATCCTTGCGCAGTAGAGTCCAGGATTGCAAGCAGCAGGAATAGAGAGACTGAAATCTGGGAGGTTATGTAAAGGAGACTGGCCAAGTCCAGTTTGTTTCAAGAGAAAAGAATTTATGTATCTCAGTGTTGAACAGTGGAGTCCTTCGTGCTCCCAGAGCTTGGTTATTGTCTTGCAGATGTTTCATAAACCAACTACGTAACATCCTTTGTGCATAGCCCTGAAGTTACCTACTTGGGTAGGAAAATGTCTGCAAGAAAACAACCATGCTCAGAGCATCAAGGATTCCCAGTAATCTCACATGCTAAAATTATTACTGTTCAATCGGAATAGTTCAGCAATAAAAGAGAATGAAGATATCCTGGATGACCAAGATACAGGATAATTTTTGGTTATCTTACTTCTGTTTTGCATGTTTCTGTTTCCAGATTATTAATTTTATTTTATTTTTCTCACAAATTGGTGGAAAAGGAGAGATTCTAGGTTTCTCAGTGTTCAGAGTGGCATATGGTTTTTTTTTTTTTTGTACTTTAAAATTAAGCACATTTCAAAATAAATTATTTATTTATTATTTCAGGTATGTTCATGAGCTCACCAAATTAATTAATAATGTTTTGAAAATGATTTTTACCCTAAAAGTTACATTTCAAAAGAACAAAAAAAAAACAAAACCCACACAGCTCCCATATGATACAAACAGGAACTTCCAAAATGATCACACAATAAATATAGTCAAATAACTACCTGGCGATTGCATTAAATCAGAGTATCGTGGAACCAGCTGTTGCACATGAGAATCAGCAACATGAAACATGGTAAAACATAGCCTTCTCTACAATGTTTATTGATTAGATTGAGGACCATCGCCACATCTGTCTATATTTTTGCACTGTTGCAATCTCCAGGGAATATCATGCCTTGGCGTGGTGCATGTCACAATAAACAGACTAGCAATTTCATGGGCTGTGCAATGGGCATTATCCTCTGATATTAAAAAGTACATTCCAAAAGTTCAAAGGACTATTTAAGTTTTTTTTTGTAGGTCTGGCTTCTAGGTTCTTGAACTAGGTGTTTGATCCCTGGTTAAGAAAAATAAATAGAAAATTTATGGACTAAATAGGAGGGAAAGAGGATCCAAAATGAAGGGCTCATGTCCGAATCAAGGGGTAAAATAAGGTGAAATTCCAGCATCGCAAAGGGTATTGATATTGTAAGGAGTGGATCTCAGTACACTGAATTCTCACATTTTAAAAAGAAATGAAGGGTTCTCATCTCTGCTGCAAATGGGCAGAGACCAGATTAAATTCCTTTCAGTTGCAGAGTGGCCCAGGAGACTTGCATATAAGTGAATTCACACATGAAACCACCAAAGGAACGACTGAGTTCACATACTGATCTTGTGACTTGCTTCTCTCTGGCTTAATGCATTTATTTTTGAGAACATACTTCATGTTTTAATGTGCTGATTGAGCCCAGTTACATGTGGGTTACTGCCATCAGGATTTCTGGGGAAGGTCAAAGTCTGCAGGATGGTAGGCTTTGACTGCTACCTGGCACCTGCTGTCCTGTAGATGTTGCCTTTTCTCCCAGATGTTGATGGTTTATTTAGCACGTGATGGTTGAACAAACCACGGGATAGTCCAAAGTAAAAAAAGGTTTCCATATCTCTTTTTCCATGGTAAAATTTAGGTCATCTTGCCAATAACTGACCTAAAGCTCCTCTTTTAAGCTTCATGGTGGGACATCAGAGGTAGGGTCTATATAACAGGTTCAGCCATAATGATATCTCCTTAGTTTAGCCACTGGGGTTGTTCATGAGGTTGCCTGCTGTGTACATACAGTCAAATTGTTTATTCAATACCTCACAATTAAATAATACATCATTTCCCATAGTAGATGAATCCAGACAGTTTTACATTCATGAAAATACTATCTGCAATATTTTCTGGATGCATGGTTCTAGACCAGTGGTCCTCAACCTTTTTAATGCCGCAACCCCCAACCGGTCGTAAGTCGAGGACTACTCAACCGGTCGTAAGTCGAGGACTACTCAACTGGTACAGCACCGTTTGCAGAATGGGACTTTTGGTGGGCTCAGCAGGGCAGAGACAGCCTGGACAATTTCTATTGGCTTTTGAAAGCCAATAGAATTAGACTCTATTCAAGAGAGTCTATTCTATTGGCTTTCAAAAGTCAATAGAATAAAAGGGAGTAGCACAGCTAAGGAAAAGGGGAAAAAAATGGCGGACTGCATTGTTTGGCGACCCCCGTGAAATGGTCGTTCGACCCCAAATGGGGTCCCGACCCACAGGTTGAGAACCACTGCTCTAGACTAATGATGTGTGCCTGTTGGGATTACTAATGGAAGTGGCCATCTGAAGGGGGGCGGTCATCCCTTCAGAGATGGCAGAGATTCTCCAGGGATTCGGGAATGCTCTTCTTTATTGAAGCGGGGAATAACAGAATCTTAAATGCCTCTCAGATCTTAGGAATAACAAAAGATCAGGTTATTTCAGTTCTTTATACCTAACAAAAGGTCAGGTTATTTCAGGATTTTGTCATGTTTCGTCTCTGTGGTGCAATCTTTTCCATAAATCTTTAAAGATTTGTCCCTCTCTCCCTCTTTTCCATGGCTCGGCCTATATTCCTTCCTACCATCTATGCCTTTTCTTAGCAGCCATGTCATCCTAGAAAGAAAATATCTGAGTTAAGAAACTCCTAATGGGCTGAAAACATCCTGCAGAAAGCACAGCTTCACAACACAGTCCTTTCAGCAGTCCCAAGAAGGCTCCACATCCATTTGCATTATTCCGGTGACCCTGAGGACACAGATAAACCTCCAGGTGGCCTCAACGACTCCATAAAAGAATGCAAATGACCACCATCCAGTCAGAGCTGAAGAAGCTTCTTAGATGAGAAGTGAAATGGCTTCAAAGAAAAAAACAAGGAAGTCCAGTTGCCTCTTAAAAAAACACCTTTGGATTGGACTGATGTTCTCTGAGCTTGGTGATTTTGATGTGTAGATATTTCGTTACCCAAGACCATCTCTGAATTCTTCTACCAACCAGCATCAGACTGGAGCCCCCCCCCCCGAAATTAACTCAATTTGGATTTTTCTTCTTCTTTTGTTTAATTCTGTTCTGCTGGGACTGCGCCTGCGATTTTTTGTCAAGGTTTTTCAGAAGAGGCTTCCCATTATTCCATCATCCATTAACACCTGATGAAGGGGATGCCTCTTGATCCAAAGTTCAAAGCACATTTATAACTCTCTAGCTGGCATAGTCAGCCCTGTTGGTAAAGCTTGAATCATGCACTAAATGCTGACTCTCATGTGCAAACCAATGAAGCAGGCTGTTTTGTAGAACAGACTGAGGCACACACTAGTAACTAGTAAGCATTTAATGATGACAAGGAAATTGGGAAATTATAAACCTTTCTGAATAAACAAAGTTCCAGTCTGCAACATAATATTTAATGGAGAGTGCTTGTGCCATAGTTAGGGAACCAATGGTCTAGAGCAGGGGTGTCAAACTCAATTTCATTGACGGCCGCTTCAGCATTGTGGTTGCTCTTGGGGGGGCAGGTTGGTGTGGCCAGGGTGGGTGCGGCCTGCTGGGTGGGCTTGGATGGAGTGGCCTACTGGGTGGGCATGGCCAGCTCTACATTGTTCGTGTCAAGGGTGCCTGTGGGGGCCTGGGCAGGAGTGGGACAGATCTGAGGGTCTCTGGCAGAAGGGGGTGGGACCGGGGGAAGCGCCAAGGCATGGTCCATTTCTTCATTCTTCACAAAGGGTGACACCCCCCCAGCATGCACCCAGGGGACGGGGCCAACACAGCAGGGGCTGGTTCCTCGCTGTTTCTAGACGGCCTTGTGGAGCTAAGACTGAATGTGTTTCACCATAGATGGCCACCACAAAATTGTACCTTGGCTCCTGGCCGGCCTGGGCCAGGGCCAAGGCAGCGGGGACCGTTCCCTCACTGTTTCCAGGATGGCTTCGCAGGCCATATGAAACCACTTTGCGGGCTGCGTCCGGCCCCCGGGCCTTGTGTTTGACATGTCTGGTCTAGAGCAGGGATAGGCAACCTTGGCTCTTTTATGACTCGTGGACTTCAATTCCCAGAATTCCTGAGCCATGAGTCATAAAAGAGCCAAGGTTGCCTACCCCTGGAGAGATCTTGTGTCTTCTTCACTGCATGAATTCAGATGGAATTTAGGAGACTCTTTTTCTAGGATGCATTAAATGGGATTTCGCCGTTAGACTCGTGGTCTAACTCAGTATTCTACAACCTTGGTAACGTTACGATAGGTGGACTTCAATGTTTAGAATTCTCTAGCCACTGTATGGAAATTCTGGTTTAAGTAGTCACTCACAATTTTGTAATGTTCTTTACTCTTGCTGTATTTTTTTTTTTAGGCAGATAAAGAGATGATGCAATGTGCAGCTAGAAAATAGAGGTATGCATTGTATGAGGAGTATTGAAATATTTGGATTTCTATATATCAAATAACTTCTACTAGCCAATTTCAAAGAGAATTTTCTCCAAGCTCTAAGTTTGAAACATTCAGGGGAAAAATCCTGTGTCCATAGCCACTTATATATTATTATTATTATTATTTTCAAATGTTCATCGCTACCGATGATCTTAATTTGTCTGCTCCTTACAATAGGAAGATGCCTATCATTGCCTCGGGATTCTGTGCATGGGCTGTGCTTCTGCTTCAAAAGTGAAAGTGGAAAAAGGCAAACCTGATTTCTGAAATAACCACTGCAAAGACTGCCATGCTACATAGTCATTTTTATTGAATATTTTTTTAATATTGCCTTGAGCAGAAAAGTAGCTGCTGTTCTTGGTAATCTGTGACGAGGGAGGGAGGCTTCCTCTGAATTAAGCTTTCAGTGTTATACATCAATCTTGGCTCAAGAGGTTTTAGCTTTTGGTGGGGAGGGTAGTTGAAGGCCGTAGACATTTATTGCAACATCTCCTGGGCATTCAGATGATCCAGAAAACTCTTTGGGGAAGGGAGGAATGTTTGGCAGGACTTGCCTGACTGAGAAAGGAGACTGGTGTTTCTAATAAAGCAAAAGATATAGAAAAGTTGTTTAGGCACTTGGCCATATCTGGATGATAGATTATGCTTACTTATTTCATGAAATGTTCAAGACAGCTAGTGTTCATAACTTCTGGATACAACAAGGGGAGACCTTTCCAAATGTACTTCCTCATAGATAGATCTTCATTATTGTCAGTCTTCTTACTTAGGTGGATGGGCAGGAAACACATCCAGAGGAGCTGATTCTGCTTTGCTCTAAGGCTATATTAAGAGAAATGTGCTAATCCAGTGATGGCGAACCTTTTAGAGACTGAATGCCCAAACTGCAACCCAAAACCCACTTATGCATCGTCCAGTGCCATTGGCTGGGTGTGGCCAATTGGGTGGGTGTGGCTACAGTAGTAACGGCAGGCTGGGTGGGACTAAAAAGTTCAATTAATCAATTCCAACTTTGCAAGAACTTTTTTTTTTTCCGCGAGAAGTTGAAATTGACTGATTGAACCTTTTTTTTTTTAGGCGGCGGAGGCCTAAAGTGAAAAGGTTTTATAAAACCCAGCTGAAGGCCTAGGACTGGAGCGATGACACGCGTGCCCACAGAGAGGGCTCTGAGTGCCGCCTCTGGCACCTGTGCCATAGGTTCGCCAGCACTGTGCTAATCTGAAAGTACATATTCCCCAAATCTCCCATCTTCTTTACAGCTCAAGAAACTAGGGAAGGTCCCTTCTGAGCCTCCTTGTCCATCCATTATGCAACTGCTGGTTATCTGACCATTCTCTAAGAAGCATCTCCTCGTCCCATCTCCCAAGGTCTTTCCCACATACCATTACAATTACCTATGAACATTTTTCTCTACTTATTTAATTAGGGGGAGGGGATGTTGTTCAATTTCATTTCATTTCATTACTGTATTTTAAGAGTTATAAACTGCCTCACTCCAGGGGCTTTAGACAGAATTTAAAATTGTAATATAATAAAAGATCATTATTGAAATAATAGTAACCCACAAAAAACCTTATTCGGCAGGACTTCGTCTGCCTGATTCATCAAACCATGTCTTCACTAATGATTTATTGTTATTATTTGAAAAATCGGTTGGTTTGTTGGAGGAAGTTTGGTCAATGTGTTTTAAAATGTAAACTTTGTTCAACAACCCAGGAATGAATATTTTCTGCAGATGACTGCTGTCTGAGGAGCTTACCGGACGCGGGAAGAAATTGCAGCTTACAGTGACCGCTTCCTGAAATTTCATCCCTTGGTTTATCACAGAGCCTTTGCACAGGCCTCTCTCCTAGAGCAAAAGAGAAAGTTTTCATCAACAAACCCCAAAAATTTAACCTGCCAAGATTTCGAATATGCAATGGGCTAACAGTGGTTGTTCAGATGTTCTGTATCAAAGGGAGTTCTCCCTGTGGTTGACATGCCATTTCTTCTTCCTCAAAATTCTGTGATCCCACTAGAGCAGTGGTTCTCAACCTGTGGATTGGGACCCCATTTGGGGTCAAACGACCATTTCACGAGGGTTGCCAAACAAGGCTGTCCGCCATTTTTCCCCTTTTCTTTGGCCACGCCCCTGGCACCCGGTGATGTATAATACATGGGGAACTGTATTATGGGGTCGCGGCATTAGAAAGGTTGAGAACCACTGCACTAGAGTGAACGAAGCCTCCATGGGAAGGCTGAATTCTTGTGCTATGCTTCTTAGAAGTCCTCTCACACTGTATCGTGGTTTGGTATGCTGGCTTGACAGCCGCGGATAGGAAGGTATGACAGAGGGTGGTGAGCCCAGCACAAAACATCGTGGGCTGCTCCCTGACACCACTGGATGACATCACCAGGGCCCGCTGCCTTGGAAGAGTGAGGAAAATTCTCAGGGATGACTCACACCCTGATTCGTACCTCTTTACTCTCCTACCATCGGTTAGGAGATATAGAAACATAGCCAGCCATACCAACAGGCTGAAGAATAGCTTCTATCCATAGGCTGTCAGGCTCTTGAATGGGACATAACTTTATGCATGATAGACTCGTGAGGCTGGCGCGCTGTGCAATTAGCTCACCTGGTGTAATAAGTTGGTGGGTTTGTAGTCATTGTGAGTTGTGGGGGGGGCACGGAGGGAGGGTCAGCCAATCTCATTGTATACATGTTGTACTTTGATAACAAAGGTTCATTCATTCATTAGAATTTTAAATTCTCTCTTTTCAACCATTCTATGGATTTCTTGAAGCAGATTTTCCAGAACAGGAAATGCATTTTGGTGATACAGATACGAATTTTGTTATTTTAATTATTACATTCCTATAGTTATATACTCTCTGGTTGTTGGAGAATTCTCCTGCAACATTTTGGAAACTGATAACTAACTTTATGGTTCATAAATTGGCTCGGAAAATAAGTTACTAAGTTTGAATTCAGATGCAAACTAACTGGAACAGCCTTCTTCTTTCAGTTCTTAAGTGAGGTCCATCATTTAAGCTTGGAGAGGCAGTTTTCTGAGATGATAAGAGGATTCCAGCTAGGAATGGAGTTTGGTTTAGACTAGAAGAATACCAAAGACCATTCCAATCTAATTCTATGCCTCTTCTCCATTTCTAGAAGATGCACATGCAGAATATGTCCTCGGATTGAATTAGAAAAGCATGGTCTTTTATGATTTATAAGTAGATTTATATGTTCATCTCTTATGATGCTTTGGGGTGGAATCTCAGAGACCTGAGAAAATCTGGCAGCTTAAAACAGAATAAAAACATAAGTATAAAACTTTAAAAACTTTAAAATCAAGATCAGCAGCAATGAAATAAAAGTTAAACCAAAAACACCAACAGTATGCAGTGGACTTTTGTCTCTTACTCAGTCAACCACCATCACCCTGTTATTACTTCTATTGGTTTTGATGTCGATTTATTATAGCTAATATTAGCATCTTCTCCCAACTGTTCTTCATTTATAAAGATGGCTTCCTTCAAAATCCTAAAATCAGGTCAGCAAAACTGTGCTCCTGTGTTCAGTTAAGAATGTATGTCCAAACTAATGAGCTTTTGTGTGTGAGTTTTCCTTATCATTTTGTGTCCTCTGGGACTTTAAGAGCCTAGAGACCACAACTATCATATGAGGGGGGGGGAGAAACTATGAAGTTGCAGGCTGTGAATGTTGGTCAAGAGAGAAAGGGTGTTGAGTTGGAGAGCTGAGGAAGTGTGCATAAAGGAGGTAAAGCTGCACATAAATGGTTGGTGTAGCCAAACACCCTTACAAGCTTTTCAGATTAGCTATAGTCATTCAGCTCTATGTAATTGTTTTCCCTTCATCCCTACAAGCTGAGAAGGACTGAGAGCTTGAGAAGCAAATGGGAATAAGATAGCAAACAATCAGTCAGAATAGAGCTGGAAGGGGTCTTGGAGGCCTTCTAGTCCAACCTCCTCTTCAAGCAGGAGACCCTATACCATTTCAGACAAGTGACTATCCAGTCTCTTCTTAAAAGCCTCCAGTGATGACGCACCCACAACTTCTGAAGGCAAGCTGTTCCACTAGTTAGTTGTCCTCACTGTTAGGAAGTTTCTCCTTAATTCCAGGATGCTCCTTCCCTCCATTGTTTCTTGACCTGCCCTCTGGTGCTTTAAAAAATAAGTTGACCCCCTCCTTTTTGTGACAGTCTCTCAAATACTGGAATACTGCTATCATGTCACCCTTAGTCCTTCTTTACTTGACTGGCCATATTCAAACCCTGCAACCAGTCTTCATATGTTTTGGTTTCCAGGCCTTTAATCATCTTAGTTGCTCTTCTTTGCACTTTTGCCAAAGTCTCAACATCTTTTTTGTAATGTGGTGACCAAAACTGGATGCAGTATTCCAGATGTGGTCTTACTAAGGCTTTATAAAGTGGTACTAATATTTTATGTGATTTTGATTCTATGCCTCTGTTTGTACAACCAAGTATTGTATTAGCTTTTTGGTGGCTGCTGCACGTGCTGGCTCATGTTTAAGTGATCCCCACTAGGATTTCACGGTCCCTTTCACAGTTACTGTTTTTGAGCCAGGTTCTGCCTAATCTATACTAGTGCCTTTGGTTTATCCTGCCTAGGTGTAAAACCTTGCTTTTCTCCACATTAAATTTCATTTTGTTGAAACACTAGCAGTGGAACATTGGAGCAGCATCCTATGGTCAGGCAGGAACGGGTGGGAAAAATATATACCAAGTGTAACTTGAAAGAAAATTCAGGAAGGAATAGGATTAGAGCTGGTCTCTGACAGAAGGCCACCTGAAGAGACTAGAAGCATTTGAAATGTGGATTTACAGGCGGCTGTTACATATAATCTGGGTTGACAAGATCAAAAATGAGGAAGTGATAAGCCGCCTGGGAAAGCCAAGGGAAATCATCAAAACAATTAAAAACTGAAAATTAGAATATTTCGGACATGTGATGCGACACCCAGAAAAATAAGGCATACTCCATTTATAAGGTGACCAACTGTCCTCCTTTAGGGAGGACAGTCCTCCTTTTGTAAGTTCTGTCCTCCCTTGAAAAGTGTCCTCCTACATCTCCTCTTTTTCGATATTTGAAGATTAATCTGCAGGGCTTTTTTTCCCTCATAGAACCCTCAGAATGGCGTTCCGGCACCTTTTTTTGATGTTTTTTTTTCAACTTTTGCATGAGCTGTGCTACTCCCCCTATTGGTTTTCGAAAGCCAATAGGAATTGCTGCTGAGCGCGCCAAAACACCCGGCTGGCAAACTTTGCACATGCAAGTTGTCTGTATTATTGTTGCAATGAATAAAATGTTTCTTTTATTTACGATATTTTTTTCTTCAATTTATTTGTGTCCTCCTTTTCATTATAAAAAGTTGGTCACCTTACCATTTAATCCTCTAGGGCAGTGGTTCTCAACCTGTGGGTTGGGACCCCATTTGGGGTCAAACGATCATTTCACGGGGGTCGCCAAACAATGCAGTCCGCCATTTTTCCCCCCTTTTTCTTAGCTGTGCTACTCCCTTTTATTCTATTGGCTTTTGAAAGCCAATAGAATAGACTCTCTTGAATAGAGTCTAATTCTATTGGCTTTCAAAAGCCAATAAGAATTGTCTAGGCTGTCTCTGCCCTGCTGAGCCCGCCAAAAGTCCCATTCTGCAAACGGTGCTGCAAATTGTCTGCTGCGAAGGCGAGCTGTCTGGAAGTTTCCACCCCTCCCTGCTGAGCAACTACTAAAAATGTAAGTAAAAGAGGGCCGGGGTGGGAGGCCGGCGGGTGCAGGGAGGGTTGCTGGTGCATGTGGGGCCCAGCGGGTGCCTTATCTCCCTTGGGCTGGGCCAGCTGGTGGCCCAGCCAGTGGTCGGCCTGCGCCGTCTCTGCAACTTGCCAGCTATGCAGGGGGTGGCACCATGTATGCGCGGCGCTCCCGGGCAGGGAAAGTTCTCGACTTACGACCGGTTGGGTAGTCCTTGACTTACAATCAGTTGGGTAGTCCTCGACTTACGACCGGTTGGGGTCGCGGCATTAAAAAGGTTGAGAACCACTGTTCTAGGGAAAGATTGAAGGCAAACAAGGTCCAGGCAGAAGAAGAACATTGTGGCTTCAAAATCTAAGGGACTGGTTTGGACAAAACTCAGCAGCACTTTTGTGCAGCTGCTGATAAAAACAGGATCGCCAACATGATCGCCAATGTCCGATAACGGATATGGCACAAGAAGAAGAAAAAGAAAGGAGAAAGTCAGAGGCACTGTTTTACTACTATCTTTACTGATAAGAAAGGTGGATGGTTAAGTATTCAATGCAACAGGGTTACTTGTAACCTTCTTGAGTACTGTAAATAATATATTTGTCATTTATTAATATAGGTATATTAAGCCAATCTAAATGTTGTATAATGAATAAAGAACATGATTCTGTTTGAGCAGTTGAAAATTTGGCTCTTGAGAAAGAATGCATTGAGCCATGATGCCAATTCAAGTTTAATGCAAGATTATGAATACTTACTGCAGTTTTATATGGGAGGAGAGGGCACTGAGTGACGTCAGACACAGGTGTACTTTTGGGACAGGAAGTCTCCTGGATGGTGTATTCTACATAGTATGAAGGACCAGAATTCCACTGTAAAAAGTCATAAACTGTTAGAGCAGGTCACATTCTCTGCAGGAAATGTTCCTCATAATCTTGGGTGCCCTATCAGTCTTTAATAACTTGAAGCCCTCCAGAGAGTCCCCATCATTCTTAGCACCAGGAGAAATGGAGAACTGGTAGGATGTGGTCAAACGTAATCAAGAAGAAGACACTAAAATATTCAGTAATCAAACTGAATGTAACATTGTCCAAAGATCAAATTCCTATCCATATGAGAAACTGGATGTTCCTGAGAAGACTTCTGGCAGATAAAATTTAAAATCTTTCAATCAGATTTCTGCAGACTTTGAGATTTATGCCAGGGGTCTTCAAACTTGGCCCTTTTATGACTTGTGGACGTCAACTCCCAGAATTCATCAGCCAGCATGCCTGGCTGAAGAATTCTGGGAGTTGAAGTCCCCAAGTCATAAAAGGGCCAAGTTTGAAGACCCCTGGTTTATGTACTTTCTTTGGCAATAATGCAGAAATCAATTATCCTCTTCTGGGATTATGTCTATTACCATTTTTAATTTTCTACATTTGACATAAATCCAGGCATTTGTAGCAGTTTCCATACAAATCAAAGATACAGCATCAGGTTTTTGCTCAAAAATACTCCACTTCAACTTTACCTGTAACTTTCCTTTGGTGACATCGACAAGGGCAAAATAACGATCGTGGCCATTTTCAGCATTGAATTTGGCCAGTGTCTCTCTTGCTATCTTCTGAAAATTGTCGTCAGAAGGGTTTCCGGGTCTTGGACAGTCGGGGCAAAGACGTGTAATAACAGAACTAGCAACTTTAGAAAAGCAAAGAATTATTATTAAAAAAGGCGAGACAATAATTTGAATTTGAGCTTGCATATTTAAATAAACCAAAATACAGAAACCTTGGATCAGCCTGAAAATAAACCATCTCTCTCAAACCTTTATCTCAGGGGTCTTCAATCTTGGTCACTTTAAGCATGGCTGGCTGGGGAATTCTGGGAGTTGAAGTCCACAAGTCTTAAAGTGGCCAAGTTTGAGGACCCCTGGTTTATCTAGTGAGGGTCACAGTTGTTTAGTAACCTGTCACAGTGCTCAATAACAGGGAACCAGTGAAGTTTGTCATTGTGAGAGGGAACAAATCTGAAAGCAGGAACCAATAGGAGAGAATATTTTATACCTCAGGGCTGAACTGTGGAATTCTTGGTGTTCTCTGAGCTTGGTGATTTTGTGTGTAGATATTTGTTACCCAAGACCATCTCTGACTCCTTATACCAGGGGTAGGCAACCTTGGCTCTTTTATGACTCATGGACTTCAACTCCCAGAATTCCTGAGCCAGCATAGCTCAGCTTGGAAACCTCTCCCTTTTCCCTCAGCGAGGAATTCTGGGAGTTGAAGTCCACGAGTCATAAAAGAGCCAAGGTTGCCTACCCCTGCCTTATACCAACCAGCATCAGACTTGAAACCTCAAATATAAACTCAATATGGATTTTTTCCCCCTTCCATTTATTCATGCTTGATTCTTGGAGACAGACTGGACAATTCCATGCAATTAATTTGGGAAGATTTCTCAGAAGCGGTTTGCCATTGCCTCCTTCCTAGGTTTGAGGGAAAATGACTTGCCCCCAGTCACTGCTCAGTTTGTGTCCAAAATGGGACTAGAACTCACGGTCTCCCAATGTCTAGCTTGATGCCTTATCCACAATATCAAACTGACTCTTAATCTGGATTACATTTTCTTTCACAGCAGAATCAGATTCTACAATGTGGTAACATCTGATGAATGAATATGTAAAGACTGAAGTAACTTTTATTCTGTGTCCATTAACACCTGATGAAGGAGGTGCCCCTTGATCCAAAGTTCAAACCGCATTTGCAACAACTTCCAGCTCACACCATTCACTCTCTAGCTGGCATAGTCAGCCATGTTGGTAAAGCTTGAATCATTCACTAAATGCCTTTGAGGTTCTCCTGTACTAAAATGCGAACAAGTCAAGTGGGCTGTTTGGCAGAACAGACTGAGGCGCAAACTAGTAACTGTTCTTAGTAACCTAACTTAGCAACAAAAGCATGTAGTAGTTGCTTAGTAATTTTTCCTCGTTTCTCAAAGTTTAGGCTTCTTCCAAACATTTGTACTCATACATTTATCCTGGAAGATCAGTTTTAGGAGGTTACAATATGGCATAATAAAGCAAAATAATCTTCAGTGAGAAACAATGCATTAGAGTTAATATACATTTTAACAATAGCCCTTGCTGGCAGTGGTGGGATTCAGCCAGTTCGCACCACTTCGGCAGAACCGGTAGCTAATTTTTCGTTGTTCTGACCCAGAATGGACTTCCGGAAACGGCATCCACACAGAGAACCGGTTGTTCACATATTTGAATTCCGCCACTGCTTGCTGGGTTTTAGAGATCAGCAGGGGCTAACCCCTACCCCTATGCTGATTGTCACAAATGCATCATGAATTGAACAGAATATGTCAGTTGGGCCTGACTAGGAGAAAAAAAAAATCTAAATTCTGTTTTTTTTTTTAATTTTATACTGAAGGTTGCAATTCAAAGGTTTGCTCAAAAATGTAGGCATTAAGATTGTGTAACACAGTGGTTCTCAACCTTTTTAATGCCGCGACCCCAACTGGTCGTAAGTCGAGGACTACTCAACCGGTTGTAAGTCGAGGACTACTCAACTGGTGCAGCACCGTTTGCAGAATGGGACTTTTGGCGGGCTCAGCAGGGCAGAGACAGCCTGGACAATTCCTATTGGCTTTTGAAAGCCCATAGAATTAGACTCTATTCAAGAGAGTCTATTCTATGGGCTTTCAAAAGCCAATAGAATAAAAGGGAGTAGCACAGCTAAGGAAAAGGGGAAAAAAATGGTGGACTGCGTTGTTTGGTGACCCCCGTGAAATGGTCATTCGACCCCAAATGGGGTCCCGACCCACAGGTTGAGAACCACTGGTGTAACAGATCAAAATAGTAGTGGTTTTAACCATTCAGTTGTGTCCAACTCTTGGTGACTTTATAGGCAAATACTCTCAATGCTATCCTGTCAAACAAAGATCAATATATTTAGCAGAATATACTATCTTAATATAAAAAAATGCACTCATAAAAAACTGTCTAAAAATGCATAAACTTGCAACAAACATATATGCAGCAAAAAAGGAAATTGGTCCAAACAGCAGCTATGATTGAGAAACAGACCAAAATGAAGCTACAGATGTAGTCTAAGATATCTGGAAGAATGAAACAAGGCTTTAAAATACAATTTTGGGGCTTTTGCGTATATCTGATTTCTGCAGGGAAATCTGTAAAACTGTGATTGGGAGATATAGTGCTCGGATTAATATTTCTTGTAAACCTATATGCAGCAAACATGGGAGATACATACAAGGGCGTAAAGCGCAGCCATATTTGTACACGAATGACCTCTTTGAATTACTGTTGAACTGAAGTATTGCTTTGCATTGGCCAAAGACCTGGAACAAGAGAAAGTAGTTAGAGTTAGCGCCACCCAATTATTTTACCAGCGCTGAAGACACCTGAAACTGAGACCTTGAAGGAGATGTGAATGTTTTGTTTGACAAAGGACTGCGGGGGAGGGGGCAAAGACCACTTTCAATACCAAAAAAAGGGTCACTGAGAACAAGGGGTCCTCAACCTTGGCTGAGGAATTCTGAGAGTTGAAGTCCACAAGTCTTGAAGTTGCTAAGGTTGAGGATCCCGGACTCAGAAGATGGCCAAGAAGTGCTTCCTCTCCTTCCAGGATGCAGATATGGAAGAACCCATTTAAGTTGCAGGAGTGAGATTCAGATTGAATATTCAATCTTCCCATGTGTAAGAGCCATGGGACAGTGGGACAGCCAAGAGAAAATAGGAGATCTCTCTGTCTCTGAATAGGTTTACCAGTTGCTCTGAGATACCCCTGTCAAGAAGGCTTTCCCTTGAATTCCTGCAGTGAGTGGAGGTTGGATCCATTCATCTCCCCACCTTCCAGTGCTATGTTTCATTGATTTGAAATGGCCCTTCAGTGCATAGAATTATCATCAACACAGACAATGCCAAGGAACCAATGGCAAGACGGGAGAAGTGGCAGAAGCTATTCTGAAGAGGCAGTTTTGTTGCAATATGGAAAGTGGGAAGCGTGACTCCTTCAGCCTCCCTTGCAAATCAGTTCAAAAACCGAGAGTTGACTTCCTTCCAAACCCCCTCAGTAGTTTTTTTTTGAAGTAAGTAGATTGGTGACTTACTGCTCCCTCTTCATTTCTAAACTCGCACTCCTTCCACTTTTTCCCGCTCTGGATATGGCATTTGGTTTCCAACACGTCCATGATGAGGTAGAAAAGGGAATCACCATTTTTCTACGGACAGACAAAGAAAAACTCCTGAAAAGGCGAATCATGGTGTCAACCCCCTTAAGCACATTAGAGGGAAATAGCATTCAAATCACCATTAGAAAAAAAAAAAAAAAAGGACAGGAGATCAGCCAATTTTTCACTTGAGGTCAAGCAACCGATTGAGCTTTCCATTGAATCCAGCAGCTTCCTCGGAAAGGGCAAGGGCGGGGGCGTGTCCAAGTGATTTTAATTATTTATTTATTCAATTTATATGCTGTTCATCTTGCTTTTCAAATAATGCAGGCATAGTTGCGGTGGTCTTGTGATCCAAGACTAATGTCTATTTTTACTTAACAATATTGCGCACGTGCCAAAAAAGGTTTGCAGTTCTGCTGGGATGCTGCAATGCTGCCACTTAATCTTTGATGAAAGGGAAGAGAACTTCTAGACCTCAGGATGAATCTCCCATTATTTTAATGTTACAATGGATAGAGACTACGTGAGATATAAACTGGTTACTTTGGAGAGGAAAGGACAGGTTGTATAATGTAGATGCTTTGCTCCTTAGTCACTCTAAAGCTTTTTCTCCTAATTTTTCCTTGTTAAAATTTCCCTCTCTGAATTTACAACACCAGTAAACTCTTTGAGAATCTTTAGAATAGAATAGAATAGAGTAAAGTAGAGTAGAGTAGAGTAGAGTAGAATAAAATAGAATAGAATAGAATAGAATAGAATAGAATAGAATAGAATAGCAAAGTTGGAAAGGACCTTGGAGGTCATCTAGTCCAAGCCCCTGCTCAGGCAGGAAACCTTATACCATTTCAGACAAAAGGTTATCCAATCTCTTTTTTAAAATATCCAATGTTGGAGCATTCACCACTTCTGGAGGCAAGTCATTCCACTGATTAATTGTTCTCACTGTCAGGAAATTTCTCCTTAGTTCTAGGTTGTTTCTCTCCTTGATTAGTTTCCACTCGTTGCTTCTTGTTCTGCCTTCAGGTGCTTTGGAGAATAGCTTGATCCCCTCTTCTCTGTGGCAACCCCTGAGATATAGGAACACTACTTTCATGTCATCCCTAGTCCTTATCTTCATTAGACTAGACATATCCAATTCCTGCAACAGTTCTTTATATGTTTCAGCTTCCAGTCACCTAATCATCTTTGTTGTTCTTCTTGCAGTATTGTTGTAAAGCTGGCCCTGTATCTACTTAGTAGGACAAACAGTAGCTTCCCACTGATTCTCAATTTATTAGGGCTCCCAAATCTAGGCTATATCTCTTGGATGCTAGCAAGTGATTTTGCAAGGGTTTTTTTTCCTACCTACATACACATGTGCTCCCAGGATTTGACAACAGAACGGCTGGTGCTGAATGGAAGGAAAGAAAAAAAAAATCAGCAGAAGGAGAGGATCTTACCTTGGGTAGTTCGTGGACATCAAAAATACGCTGGAGGCCAAGAATGTAGCCTTGTTTCCGATTTGAATTGACTTTGTTAAGTGCCACTTCTGCTGCAGCCTTTACCACCAAAGAATTGCATGATGGGTAAACAAAGGAAGGAGCTGTTGAGGCAGCCAATGTATGAACTATCTGTATCCCAATTAAGAATGAAATAAAAAATACCATTTTTGAAAATTTTTGCAGAATCAGAGAAGAAACTGAACTATGCTGAGAAGAACCAGGTTTTGAAAGAGCCTTGCCCATCTATATATACACTTTGAAATGAATAGCTGATAGTTGTTCTTCTACCTACCATACTGTGGACCACACCTTTAAACATCCTGTGATTAGAAGTGTATATCTTGGCAGGGGAATTTTCATCTGTGGTCACATTCTTGAGTTCAAACCAGTTTTACTGCAGAAAGAACCCTTCCTTCTTTCCTTGGAAGAGTTCAAGAATGCTGAAAAAGTATGGGTATAACTAACATATAATAATTGATATTGTGAGTATTGTGGATGGTAAAATAACCTTATGGGTGTGACTGGTCAGGAAATGGCTCACATGTTCACTGCAAAATGCCTGAGACTGTGAGTATGACTAGTCACAAGATATCCATTGATGGGAAGACAAACTGGGAATCTCTCTCTCTCTCCTCCCCCCCATTGTCTATTTTCCCAGATTACTAGCTCATTATAAAGTAATAGTATGCAGTATGTGTTACTGGACTGTTGAGAGGCAGTAGATGACTCTGGGCCTCCCATTATTTCTCAACTCAATCTATATCACAGGCTGTTGTTTAAATTTAGGGTGAAATTCAGGGAGAGGGTGTTTATGGACAGTCATAGGGAAAGGTGGGATATGAATGCAATATCAAGGTTGATGAAAAATAATGCTTCCAATGTTAAAGAGTCCTTGACTTGTTGGAAGAAAAGTCTTCATCCTGGTTCATCCAAGCTGGGAATAAACATGGCAACTGCTTTGGGAAGAGGGCTGTAGTTTATTGGAAAGGAGAGCAAGACAGGAAGATGGTTCTGGCAGCAAAGAGGAGAGAAAAAGGGCTTAGCACATGTAGGAAGTGGGTTTTTAATACCCTCTGAAGCCTTTTGTTTGGAGTTGTTCCTGTGGCATGAACTTTGAGCTGAGTCTGAGTGTGCCTTTCTGGTATTCTGATGGTGATGGGTCAATCTTATTATGTCCAAAGGTCATACCCTGCTTCCCTGGGGCTGATGACTCAAGAGTTTGGATGGGGTATGTAGATTTTAGGTCTTTGTCTTCTTAATCTCCTAGCTCCCTGGATTTATATCTGCATCTCTATAGAACTGGTTTCTGCTTGGGGAAGGGAGACCTGGGGCTATTAAGAAAACTGGGCATGCTTTTCTGCCTCTTTAAGATCCTTGGAGGAAATATATTTTTCTGCCCTTTTAATATTTCCTTCTCTGTGGGGCTGACTTCCCACAGACTTACAACCATAATCAAAACTTTTAATAGCGAGTTCCACACAATGTGCACTAATCAAATAGATGGTAAGAAAGTAGGGGAACTCAGGCACCACACAGGTTATGTAGTAAGTAAACACAGTTTACTTTCTATATGCTCTCTATATAAGAAATAACTACATCTCTACAGAAATAAAGCACAACAATGATGAAAACTGTCTTGAATGCATTTGGGCCAATATAAAAGGGGGGGGGGAGACATTGCCATAGGTGTATACTATAGGCCACCCAACCAAACAGAGGAAATAGATGAACTTTTTGCTAGTCAGCTAACTAAAGTATGTAGGAAGCACATCACAATAGTAATGGAGGACTTTAATTACCCTGACATCAACTGGGAGACAAACTCTGCACCAAGTGGAAGATCAAACAGATTCCTGACAAATCTAGCAGACAACTTTGTCTCCCAAAAAGTAGAGAAGGGAACTAGGGGATTAGCCATTTTGGATCTAATTCTCACTAACAGAGATGAAATGATAGAAGGTGTTGAAGCCACAGGAACCTTGGGAGGAAGTGATCATGCGATATTGGAATTCAACTTTATGAAAACACAAGCAATAGAACACAGTCAAACTAGAGTCTTGGACTTTAAGAGAGCTAATTTCAATAAACTTAGAGAGGGCTTAGGAAAGATTCCATGGATGAGAATCCTCAAGGGGAAAACAACTCAAGAAGCTTGAGAAATTTTGAAAAGTGAGGTAATAAAAGACCAGTCTAGCACAATACCAATAAAGAAGAAAAATAACAGATCTCAAAAGAAACCAGCATGGCTGCATAAAGAACTCTCTGATAAATTGAAAGATAAAAAGGACAAGTATAGAAAGTGGAAAGAGGGGCACATAACTAAGGCAGAATATCAGCAAATAGCCCGAGCCTGCAAAGATGACGTGAGGAAAGCTAAGGCTCAAAATGAACTAAGGCTTGCAACCAAAGTCAAAAATAACAAAAAAGGTTCTTTCAGCATGTAAAAAACAAGAAAAAAATGAAGGAAACGATTGGTCCATTAGTGGGTGAAAGTGGCAAAAAGGTGACAAGCAACAGGGAGAAAGCAGAACTATTTAACTCGTTTTTTGTATCTGTCTTTACACAAAGGGAAAAAACAGACCAATCTATCAAAAATAGTGCCATAAAAAACAGAGTGGAAACACAAGTTAAGATAGGCAAGAAAATAGTAAGCGAGCACCTGTCCAGCCTAGACAAGTTCAAATCACCAGGACCAGATGGATTACACCCCAAGGTTCTCAAGGAATTGGCAGATGTGATCTCAGAACCACTGAAGTATATTTTTCAAAGATCCTAGAGCACTGGGGAACTATCAGAGGACTGGAAAAGAGCTGATGTAGTTCCCATCTTCAAAAAAGGAAAAAAAATGGATCCAGGGAATTATAGACCTATCAGCCTGACCTCAATACCTGGGAAGATTTTGGAAAAAATAATCAAACAACAAATCAGCAAACACCTAGAGGCAAATAAAGTCATTACTAAAAGCCAACATGGGTTTGTCAAAAACAGTTCATACCAGACAAATCTTATTGCATTCTTTGACCAAGTGACAAAATTAGTGGATCAGAGGAATGCTGTGGATATAATTTACTTGGACTTCAGTAAGGCATTTGATAAAGTAGATCACAACCTACTACTTGACAAGATAGAAAAATGTGGGTTAGACAGCATCACCACCAGATGGATTCATAGCTGGCTGACTGGCCGTACTCAGCATGTGGTCCTCAATGGAACCACATCTACATGGGGGGAAGTGTGTAGTGGGGTGCCCTAGGGCTCGGTTCTGGGCCCAGTGTTCTTCAACATCTTCATCAACAATTTGGACAAGGGGATAGATGGGGAACTCATCAAATTTGCAGATGACAACAAGCTGGCAGGAATAGCCAACACTCCAGAAGACAGGCTTAAGATACAGGAGGATCTGGGCAGACTTGAACACTGGGCACTATCTAACAAAATGAAATTCAATGGTGAAAAAATTAAGGTTCTATATTTAGGCAAGAAAAACCAAATGTACAAGTATAGTATAGGGGGTACCTTGCTCAATAGTAGTAACTGTGAGATGGATCTCAGACTCCTAGTGGACAATCACTTAAATATGAGCCAGCAGTGTGCTGCAGCTGCCAAAAAAGCCAACACAGTGCTAGGCTGCATTAACAGGGATAAAATCAAGATCACGTGAAGTATTAATACCACTTTACAATGCCTTGGTAAGGCCACACTTGGAATACTGCATCCAGTTTTGGTCACAATGATGTAAAAAAGATGTTGAGACTCTAGAAAGAGTACAGAGAAGAGCAACAAAGATGATTAGGGGACTGGAGGCTAAAACATATAAGGAACGGTTGCTGGAATTGGGTATGTCTAGTTTAATGAAGAGAAGGACAAGGGGGGACATGATAGCAGTGTTCCAGTATCTCAGGGGTTGCCCCAAAGAAGAGGGAGTCAAGCTATTCTCCAAAGCACCTGAAGGCAGGACAAGAAACAAAGGATGGGAACTAATCAAGGAGAGAAGCAACCTGGAACTAAGGAGAAAGTTCCTGACAGTTAGAACAATTAACCAGTGGAACAACCTGCTTCCAGAAGTGGTGAATGTTCCAACAGTGGAAGTTTTTAAGAAGAGACTGGACAGCCATTTCTCCGAAATGATATAGAGTTTCCTGCCTGAGTAGGGGGTTGGACTAGATGACCTCCAAGGCCCCTTCCAACTTTTTATGATGATGATGATGATGATGCCTGGAATTACTTTCATAAGTTACTGCAGTTATTAAGTGAGCCACCATGTGACCAGGCCTGATTTTAAACCTTTTTGCAACAGTCATTAAGCAAATGCTGTAATCTTTAAGTGAACCCATTATACCTCTTATGCATTCTTTGCTGGACACCATTGTAATTTTGAATGGTCACTAAGCTCAACTTCCATCTGGGTAATTCTCAGGTTATTTAATCCTTCTAGGACACCATGGAAAGTTCTTCTTTACCAGGTCTTCAAAATTACCGCTTCGAGGCAACCACATTGGCATCTATAAAAACGAAAGAAATTGATGTTAATTCCTAACGGCTGTCTTTCAGAGCACCAAATATTCTTTTTTCTCTTTCAGGCTGCCCTAATGCAGCTGTTCTAGAGATGGTTGAATAGTTTCCTGGAATTAGGAGATATTTTCAGTTGTTCCAGGGGTGAATTTATTATGTTAATTATTGTATTCCTATTGGTATATAATTTTGATTCATGAAGAAATGCACTGTGGCATTTTGGAAAATTATAATTAATGTTATGATTCATAGGTTGGCTTGGAAAACGCTAAATTATACTGTATCGGTTTTTATTTAGCTGGAACAGCCTGCATTCTGCGTTCTTGGAGGTTCTCAAGCAAACATTGGAGCACCAGGCTTCTGGGATGATATGAGAATTGCTGTGCAAAGGGTTCCAGCTTTATCACTGTGTGGTTCCTGTCCACTTCTACAAGATGGAGATATAGATAATATTGTCAGGATATCATCAGGAGCAGTGGTAATGCAGTGGTTAAAATGCAGTATTGCAGGCTAATTCTGCCGACTGCCAGCAGTTTGATTCTCACCGGCTCAAGGTTGACTCAGTCTTCCATCCTTCCGAGATTAGTAAAATGAGGACCCAGATTGTTGGGGACAAATATGCTGACTCTGTAAACCGCTTAGAGAGTGCTGTACAAGCACGATGAAGCAGTATATGTCTAAGTGCTATTGCTATCTAGTTGCCTGTTCTGAAAGTAATTTTAGAT